TATTTTAGAACTGATGATGATATCGGCTTTTAAACTTATATTGCTCATGTAAGTGAGCTTGGGGTGGAAGATCCTTGAGGACCCCTTGCCTTACTGAGATTTCTTGTTTAGAGATTTCACCCACGTTTGGGGAATGCTTATTTCAGGTTCCGGTAGTTTGGTGACTGATGCCTCTGGCGGCAGGAGGCCAGAGCTTAGTTGATGATATTATGATGTTTGCTGCCATGACTGAATATGGATGCTGTTTATGTTTTTCGCTATTTATGTTTATGTTAGTTTTGAGACTGATGTTGGGCGTGTTGCCTTATTTGAGTGAGCATGAGGATTGTCCATGACACTTTTATGTTAGTGCTTTTGATTTGGAGTTGTATAAACTGTTAGATGGTCCGGTCTACGTTGTTGTAGTTCCGTGACTAGAGCCACACTTTTATTATATATATGTTATGAGGTATATTCAGATAGCTGTTTTATTGCAATTACATACAGGCGATGTTTTATTAATTGATTAATAAGCAAGTTGGTAATGATAATGACATCATAATTGAAAAGAAAAAAATATTCCGCATTTTTAATTAAGCGCTGCTTAATACGATAGTATGATAACATTACCAGATATATACGGGGTGTTACAATCAGCATAAGCAGGTAAACATCAATCAACTAAGCTCCGGCTTCCTGCCGCCCGAGGTCTCAACCCCAGCGTTACCTGAACCTGAAATGTGTGCCCAAACGTGGGGTGAGATCTCTAAAAAGAAATCTCAGTAAGACAAGTGGTCCTCAAGGACTCTTCCACCCCAAGCTCACTTACAGGTATAATATAAGTTCAAAAATAGTAATTTCAATGCATGTTCATGCTAAGGCATTTATATCATGACAGTATAATCTCTTGCTCGACGAGCTAAATACTACAACTTATTAATCATGTGATGTATGTAAATGTGGTTCGACTGGCCAGGGAACAGGATAGGGATTATGCACGTCTGCGACCCATCTAAACATAAGAGTCGCAGTCTTATGTCTTACACACCAGAGTCGCTGTCTGATCGTGTAAATGACAACATCATTTTCATACACTACATGTCTTACACACCAGAGTCGTTGTCTGATTGTGCAAGTACTCAACAATTAATTTAATACATCTCAGGCATATATCAATGCATATTTCATCTTTCATAAAAGCATACCATGCATATAAACCACCCTCCCATGGAGGTCGGTGGAACAAACAACAGACTAATCCGAGGACACGAAAGCTTATCTTTCAAGCTAGCTATCCAAACCAAGAATCCAACCAAGCTCAAGGTCCACACACAGCACAATCACAATCTGTTTTGGACCGATAAATATATCAATATACATACTCAACAAACCTTTGACATAAAGACAACGCATTTCTTACGTTTCATGTCTTTAGGCTCTTCGCAAAGCCATAAGCCCTTAATCCCTTGATTTTGACTTAGTTTAATTATTACAGAAGTCCACATAAGTCAATCATGGGTCCACAAACCCAAAATGACATTCTGTATGAACAGTACCATCACTGTTCCGAAATTTCCAGAATATCCCGATATTTGTCGGGGGCATATCCGGATATCAATATCTGAATATCTCTCTACCAATATCCGGATATTCAGATCCCCATATCCGATATCAATATCCGGATATCATATTCGGATATCTATATCCGGATATTCATATCCGGATATTTCGCGACAGAATGGAGTTCTACATTTCGCGAGATATCCTTCTCTAAGATGGTTCATTTCATGCATACAGAAGCTTAAACATGCGATTTAAGGTGTGTTTTACATTACCCAATCCCAAGTTATCAACTTTAGATCATAACACGCATAAAGGTTCTATTTTTAAGCATTAAAACTCATTATCATGGTTGGTACAACTTACCTAAGCTTCAAACAGAAGCACAAGGTGCTCTTAGAGCTCAATTGAGGCTCCCAAAGTCCAGCACACCCAAGGACACGAAAATGGTGCACACACAATGTCCTTTCTCTCCAAAGGTTGCTTCTTGAAGCAACAAAATGCCAACACCAAGCTCCCACAACCCAAACAACAAAGGCCAGCCCCTCAACTCAACACACTGCAACTGGACATCTAGAGAAAGGCTACGTCTCACCCTCACAACGGTATCCCTCACTCACACAAGTGTTTAGGATGAAGAAACAACCAAGAAATGGTCACAAGGTTGCGTTTTGGTCAAGAACAAGGGAAGATGGCAATGGAACAGTGCAGGACTGCACTTTAACCGCCCAAGCACGTATGAAATATGTTATGGCCTAGGATTTTGGGCTAACTAATGTATTTATAGTGTTTTAAGCCTTAAGCACACAGTATTAGCGCTAATTGCTACGCTTAGCATTTCAATCCCAAACTTTGGAATCTGAACCTACTCATTTTTCTAGGATTTATCATATTTTTATTTTATTTTTCGCAGCACCTTTCCGGTACGCGCTTTCCATAGCCAGTATCAGATTCTGGCACTAGTTCTCATTATTTTAACTTGAAACTCGTTTTACAAGTCCTATATATTATTCTAGTAATATTCATGCACTTATTATAATTTTTTGGGATACTTTATCGATACGCATTTATACCGACTAGCAGAACCGATATCTGCATTTTTCGTCAGAAAAGCGACTTTCAACATTCTTAATCACTTACTACATTTATTTAAGCCTCATGATAATTATTAGGGTAAATTATGAAATTATTTCCTAATTTCACATAATTAATTAATTAACGGTGCGACTTCTTACAGAGTCAGTTTGGCATCTTGAGGATGTCGTATTTAACATCTCGGCCTAACCTGCCATTGTGCTTTCCATTTCGACTTTGGCTTCTTTTCCCAATCTTTAGGTTTATGGAGACAATTTTTTTGCCTTTTTAACTTTGAGCACGACTTTTCACACCTCGACTCTCTTCTTTGTACCCTTACAAGGGCATTTTTGGTGCTTGGACTTATAGTTCAGAATTGTGGGCCTTCCACAAATAGACTCAGTTTATTGGCCGAGGTCTTGGATTAACATCAAAATCTACTTGCCTGTTGAGACTTGGCTAGAATCCCTGTAATCCCGTTAAGACAAATTCCAAATTTTGCATTTCGAGTGCTCCTTGATCTACACCGAGGGATTTTCTTTTTGTGCTTCATGACCTAAATTTTATCTCGGCCTTTGAATTTTGGTGTCGGGTTTCGTGAGTCGAGTACTGAATATGCTTCTCTAGTATTCCTCTCTTGTCCTTTTTGGCCGAGGTCCAGCTCGGGCTGGCTGATCTTACTCTATGACCCCCTTGCCGAGATTTCAACTTTGTCGCTTTTCGTCGTACTATTTTGATGGTCGCCTTCTTATACTTGCCCCACAGTCCGACAGTCTGGAAGTCCGGGCTTTCAGGCTATAATGTTTTCATACTTCGATTATGCCTGTATCTTTTTTATTTGAAGACTTTATAGAGTCGTGCCGGCTCCTGGCTGGGTTTCTTGGGCCGCCCAGTGCGCCCTTACTTGGCGGGTGACTTCTTATCTGTATACGTGGCCAGGATTTAGTCCCAAGTGTCGGGTTACTTGCCACTTGACTCGACCTTCTTAGCCAAGGTCTGGATCTGGATTAGTTGGTTTTTTGTAGATCGTTTTATTTGTGCTTCTGTGCTGCCTTGTTTGGGTTGGCTGAGGTGTTTGACTTCTGGCCTTTTTCGAGTTCTGAAATCGGTCTAAGTCCAAGATTTTGGAAAAGTATTTGTGTGTCAGAATGCTGATTTACACTTTACTTTTTGCTAATTTAGGGGCCTCTGAGCTCCTTTTAAATTTGTAATTGATATTATCAGGATAGTTCTCGATCCTTTTTTGATCTGGTAGTTTGAATTTCCCTTTCTTTTTGTCCTATTTGCGGAGTTTGATTCTTTCGCGCTAAAATTAGCAAGGCTTTTATTGCCGTTAGCCCGTTACTTTGATTTTGAGATTGCTTCCTTCCGAGGTGTGTTTGCCTATTTAATTTTGAGCCTAACGACGTTTGTCATGGGTTTTTTATCTGAGCCCCGTTTCTTTGGGATGGCTTTTTCGTCTGAGCTCGACTTAGTTCATCGTGGCTTTTTACTTTTAAGCCCCGCTTCATTTGCTATTGATTAATTTTTTTTTATCTGAGCTCGGCGTATTGGGTTGCAAGCTTGATCATTTGACATCGTTGCCAAAATCTTGAATAGGAGCCTGACACGAACAGAGGTAGCCCAATTTTTGTAATTATCAGAACTCTTCAGTTTGGAATAAGTAATAGACCCCACATTAGTAGAAATAATTCCTGAAGAAGTTTTGGCAAAAGGAAGAGGAGAGTTAAGCTCCAAGAGATCAGGGGACGCTGCTGCCATTAAAGACAAAGCCGTAACTGAAGGCAAACAATAGCCAGTGAGACCCACAAAGAGCCAAGCCCAGATTTGGAAAGAGGAGGAAAAACCAAGCTACTCCCTCCAGGAACGATCGAAACAAGACGCCGGAACAATGCACAAGCATCAGTGAAGCACCATGCGCAAGGAGAGGGCGAGTGAATACTCCTCTAGTGATGGATCTTCCACAGACTTGATCGCCGAAAAAAAAGAGCTCTAATTGTAAGCTTTCCAGTTGAAGACGACATCAGAACAATACTCCAATGGTCTAAACAATGACAAATGGTGGTTGTTGAGAGTGGACAGAACCAAAAAAACCCTTCAGATGGACACACGACTGACAATAAACTTGTCAGAAGAACGCACAGCAAAATAGAAAAGAACACGGTTTATAATTTAGCGGAAACAAATTAAGATTAAATAATAATTGTGTATATTGAATAATAGGTAAATTACAATATCTCTATTTAAAAAAACTAAAAAGAAACTATTCTAACAACTACTCTACCCTATCAGAGACCAATAGATATTCCACTATTTTTAGTATACCAAGAATCGTACACAATGTATTGCAGGGGAGCAGGATTAATTAGATTATTGCACAGCCACTCTAATAAAATCCATATTTTTGCATTAGTCATGCTTATGCATATATACACACAATATCTCAGTTATATACATGAGAGTTTTACACAATATTCTACACCTGGGAAGTTCTTAGGCAGTGTAGTTTAGCAGGAAACTAAATATAAAAAGCAACAAGCCACATGATAGAGACTACTCGTTGAGTTTCTATTTACAACCTCACCTTTTTATTTATTTTTTCTCAGAAACATAAGAAAAGATAAAACCAAAAAAGAAAACTTGACTAATTCAAGGGATCAACCCCAACAGACTTGAGAGTCTCAACACGAGGGCGATAGGCATAGGCATCTTTGCGAGTAGGATCAGGGATTTGGTGCTGATCAGGATAGCTACGCTCCTGAACGTGTGCCACTTTTCTGAAGAACGACTTCTTCATGAACCTGTCAGCCTCCTCCACCACGTGCTCTGGCTCCACTACTTCTGGCAGAGTCTCCCTCCTTTGCTTCTTCACTCGCACAGTTGGGGAATTTCTCAGGTGCTGCCATGCAGTGTGGAGGCCTAGACCTGTGGACAAGGCTATCATCCCAATGGCCACGTACACAGGCACGAAGTCCCCTTTTGCGGACTTGGATGATTTACCACGCTGTTGGTGTTGGTTGTGAACATACCCATAATCAGTGGCAGGAGCATATGCTTTCATCTTTGGCACAGTTGAAGTTGTGTATGCAGCCTTACCTTCTCTTTGAAGCCCGTTTCTTAACAGTTCTATACAACGACCCATCTGCACCACATATTGAACGAGCATAAGGAGGTGATCATTAAAGCCATATAACACCTTATAAATGCATTAGCCCTACATACAAAGGAAAATTCATGGAAAACATAAGAGAAGAAAACAGTACCGTAGGCCTCAAAGCCATGATTGCAAACCGAATTAGAGCGAAGAATCGAAAAAGGAGTATCTGGAGAGTAGTAGAAGTAGTTGTAGTTAAAGTCTGCAAAACCAGAAAGCAGTCCGTTGCTTGCTGCAGTTTTCTGTCACAGATTTTCTAGTACCATGCTTATATAATTTGATGGATAAGCCCTCCAAGTTTGTACAGAAAGCGAAGTAAGTCTCAGTAGAGAAAGAAGGTTCCGGAGCCACGTAGCAGAATGTGGAAGCCATGGGACACGTGTCACTCTACAGAATTGACATGATAACCATAGAAGCCTCCGGAAGTGCCACGCACTGTTTATAATCTGAACTATGAAATTAATAAATTGTGTTATTCTAATGTAGTAGACTAAAATCAGTGATAGATTTCTTGTGATGCATCACCATGGACCAAAAGATTGTCTTTGGTGGCCCCACAGCTCTCGAGCTGGTTGGAAAGCTGAAAACTTAATATGTAAAGATCTAATGACAAATAATCATTCACAATTTATTATCAATAAATTAATAAAATAACAACCAATCACAACTAAATTTATTCCTAGTATCCAATTAATCTTTACACCTTATCCTTTCCCTCCCGATTAAGTTGGCAGTCATAGCCTTCGAAGTCAGAAGGTTCAAGTTGATTGCAGCTGCCTAGAACACCATGAGTGAGGAAGGAGATTATCATCTTGGCATCTAGTTAATGTCATTCAGTCTAATCAAACTAAAGCCAGTAATCTTCTTGGCCCTCTTGTTGGCGCTCAATGATCTCCTAATCTTGATTAAATCATCCCACTGTTCCGTGTGTGCATAAATATTAGCCATGACGGAATAAACCCCACCGTCTTCAGGCTTTATGTCCATCACTTGCTGGGCTGCTTTCTTTGCAATCTCAACGTTCCCATGTATCCTACATCCACCAAGCAACCCACCCCACGTGAACACATCACCCCCACTTGGCATCCCTTTTATCATCTCCATGGCTTCTTCAATCAACCCAGCCCTGCCCAACATATCAGCCATGCACCCATAATGCTTGTGCTCTCGAGGAACCCCATATAGAGTTTCCATGTCATTGAAAAGCTTTCGGGCTTCATGAACTAGACCCGCATGGCTACACCCCACCAACACACCTAAGAAGCTCACCCCATCAGGCTGAATTCCCTCTGCAATCATTCTAGAGAAGTAGTCCAGCAAAATTGAACCTTTCCCATGAATTGCAAGGCCAACAAGCATAGCATTCCACGTAAACACATATTTATCTGTGCATGACTCAAATATATCCCTCGCAGTCTCAACACACCCACACTTGGCATACAAGTCCACCAACCCAGTGGCCAAAAACGAATCAACTCGAATCTCATTCCTTGTAATGTAATCATGGACGATGCTACCCTGTTCTAATTCCCCAAGCTGAGCACAAGCTGAAAGAACTGACACCAGCGCAATATTATCTGGCCGAAGCTCCAAACCAATCATCTCATTGAATAGTTCAATGGCTTCACTGCACAATTTCGCGTGGCTATAACCAGCAATCATGGTGCCCCAAGACACGGAATCTCGCACAGCCATTTCGTCGAACAGTTCACGTGCACGACCAATCTGGCGAGTTTTGACAAACCCATCAATCATGGCATTGTAAGAGACAACATCTTTATTAAAACTTCCGCAGAACAGCTTGTGGGCATCACCAACACGGTCGTGGATGGAGTAGACGCGTATTAGCGAGTTGAGCACGAACAAATCAGCCAAAAACCCGAACTTGAAAGCTTGAGAGTGAAGAGACTGAGCAAGAGAAAGGGCACGGAGTTGGGCACAGGCTTTGAGGACAAAGGGGAAGGTGTGGAAGTCAGGGGGAAGAGAGAGACGGCGGAGAGAGGCAAAGAGTTGGAGGGCAGGGAGAGGTGAAGAGAGGAGAGTGTGGAATCTGATGAGGGTGTTGAAGGAGAAAGTTGTTGGGTTTGGAATGGAATGGAAGATGGAGAGTGCATAGGTCATTAAATTGGAACAACGGTTGTTGTTGTTTGGGGGAGTGAGTAGGGAAGTGAGGGTGGAGAGGATGCTGCTCAATATTGGGAGTGTATGGAGGGGTAAGAGACCGGTGGTGATGGTGTGAGCATGAACCTGGTGGAGTTGTGTGATGGATTTGCATTGCTTTATCACATGCAAGGTACTCATACGCATTAAGCAATGGGGTTTTCAAGGTGAATTTGTGCTGGGAACTCGTTACTCATCCCGTGTCATAATTGTTATTGACAAAGAACAGAGCAAAATGAACCAGGTCATGAGAAGTTATTAAATCTAAGAAAAAAAAAACGTGAACGGCAGGATTCGAACCTGCGCGGGCAGAGCCCACATGATTTCTAGTCATGCCCGATAACCACTCCGGCACGTCCACCTTGTTGCTATTTTCTTCTTACAAATTAACTTCATGTTTCTTTATTTTAAATTCATTATTAGTATTATTTATTTTCTAAATAATATTATGTGTACATAACATAACTACATAAAAATTATAATTATAATTTTGCAATTTTTATCATTTTCTCCTAGGGTATCTTCTTACTCAAGACAAGAAAAAAATTATGTTTATGGGTGAAAGGAAACATTACTTCCATGCAGTTTACAGCAATTATCATTTACTTTATTTTTTTTTCCCTTTTACTTCTCTCGTCTCTTTTCTTTTTTAACATATAGTTCATGGTCATGGGATTACACATTATATACAATCAATGTCACTGTTACTTGTTAGATCAAGCATGATTCAATGACCTTGAGCATATTTACGGCATCGAGGATGTGTAGGACTTTTTCTTTTTCTTTTTGGATAAATGCATATATCCTTCGCAGCAATTCTGTGCTCCACTTGCTCAGCTTCCATGCGTCGACTAAACTATCATTATTTAATAGGATATGTGGACTTTGAATAAAGTACTGAGTCCCAACATCAATTAAATTACCAATAATTAATAATTGGCTCGAAAAAAAGTTATGCATTGCCCACGAGAGATAGCATGTCGATGAGTCATTAGAGTAGGCCAAGAATATGCGGGCTTGTATAATTTATGTAAGGGTCTTCAAGTTTAAACTTGATCCCCAATCTGTACCAAATAAAGCCTCATTGCCATTACAGAAGAAGGAGAAGATAGCACGTTTATTTAATTCTTTTGTCGGGTTTCGTTTCAACCAAACTGTTGTTAAAATTGAAAAGGAGAAAGTGCAGAAGATATCACCAAGAGAGTAAGCCTGATTTGCAAGGTAAGTGACGAAAGGCCTAGGATTACCGTATAAAGAACCAACCCCCTAAGGTGAATTATTTTATATATGGGGAGTTCCAATAATTGCTATTCCTCTCAGTAAGGAAAGGAAGTGAGATTCCCAGACAGTTAAATTGAACAACATCAGTTAATCCTTATGCTATTCTATGAAGAAGCTTCCCTCATGAAAACAAAAAAAAAAAATTGACTTTTGGCTTCTCTTTAATTATACTACACCCACTTCCGCATTTAGCAATCCCACTAAATAATTAGTGCCTTTGGGATTTTGGCACATATACTACACCCACTTCCACTTCCACAATTAGCAATCCCATTGGTACGAATTGAACGGTGCCAACCCATTGTGCCCCATTTATATAATTTAAGTGCTTATCTACTATTCTCTTCTCTCTTTACACATGGCTGTTTTGTTGCTATAACAACTTTAACCAACTTTTCATTATTATATCATTTCTTCACTTCTTTTAACCTGTTTTTCAATCCGTTTCTTGTCGGTCTTCTCAACATGGAGTGACGAGTCTCTATGCCTCTATCCTATAGAATATTGTTAGAAATTGTCTAAAGCAGAAGAACAATAATAAGAAAAGCATTTGTCCATAATAGAATACTTTTGTGGGACCTTTTGAATAATGAAATGTTATTCTTTTCTTTTCTGTCTATGCTTATCTGTTCTCTTTTGTCTGCTTTTCCAATCCCCTATCATGTTAGAAATTGAAGGTATCCCTACACGTATCTATGCCTTTCAAGTGGATATATATGCTTTAATGTAAGGGAAAGAAGAAACTACCCGTTGTCCTTCATTCTCAGTGCAATCTAATCTACAAGATATGGAGAAAGAAGAGAATGAGGAGAATGAGAATGAATAAGTTCAGTTTTTGAACATTATGCTACTCTCCTTTTGAAGAGAGTAGTATGAAAAGGCAATTCATAGAGGCTTAGGGAAGGCAAAGCCTTTCTTCCAGGTTCAATTCATGAAGCTGCACCTGTACTGGTGATTCAGCTGGCTATGCCAGACACAGTCTGCAGTTTCATCTTCAATAAATGTTTTGTGTTTATTGCTATGGGGTTCATTTATTGTTATGTTTCTCTTTCCACCCTTTCTCTATGTTGTGAGTGATTTGAGAAATTGTAATTGTAATTTTTGCCTCTGTTTTTGTTGGAAGCCACGAATAAAGTAGTAAACTGTTTGTTGGCATGCAATAAGTAAATCCTAATATTGTCAATTTTTACTATATGCTGTCGAATTTTAGGTACATCTTCTGTTCATAGTCTATGATTATTCGTATTTGTGTGATGTGACATGTTCGTTTTTCGTAGATGCAAACAGTAAAAATGCAATTTCCACGTAGAAGTACCAGCAGGAAGATACTTCGAAGAACGTTTCTACTTTCTAGTTTGCCAGGCTAGTAACAGGAAGTCATGAACGATAATGGTGTATATCATATAAGAAGCTTTATGATGTAAGTTAGAGTTATGAGCATCCTAACTCCATGATATTAATACACGGTGATGTCAAAAACAGAAATGAATCCATTTTGCAGTGCGCACTGAATGCTTCCTCCACAAACTAAAAGCCAACGAAGGGGTAGATATTCGATTGTGAGATTGGAAAGTTCAAAATGTATTTCGATATTGCATAAAAGGTGATTATTCATTTCTGAAAAGATATTCAAGAGAGAGTCATTCCTTTCCCCGCTCTTATAAGTCTGAAAAGAAACTTAGATGTGTCTTCACGGATTTTTCTGCCCAAACACGGCACAGGGCAGTGACAAAAAATTGAGGTATGAACATCATAGTGAGTAGAGACTGTTGAAATTCACATCGTAGTGTGTTTTTTTTTGCCTGTGCAATACTAGAGTAGACAAAAAACCAATAAGAGTGACAGCTATTACTTCATTCACTAGAAAGGAATTCCAAACTATCGGAGTGCAAGGTCTAAACTATTAGCAATTCTCTGTACCGAACCCAAGTACGTTACGTTAATAATCTGCATTTCGTTGTCAACAAATGTTCCTTGCACTTGCATCTAGAGTAGAGAGTACATTCAATAGAAAGAAATGTTAACAGCCGAATCTTCACAGGTCAATAAGAATTCATTTTGCCATCATGCAGAAAATGATTCTATTTATCGTGGTTTCCTAAACATCAGAAGGATGCCATCCATCAATTTTACTCACTCACGAAAATCCATATGTAAATCTGTATGTTAGGTATTTCTAATAACATGAAAGTAGAGAAGAAACAGAATTACCTATCTTGGCCTTTTGACTATAAGAAATAGTGGACAAAATACATATCGAAAAGGATAATACCTATTACCTTGGTATATCTAGAATACAACCCTAATTTCTCAACATTAGTTCAGATAAGCATGGGGAAAAACTTTCTGACTACAAAATCGTGTTTTAAGATATCCTCTCAAAAGAATGACTATTTGTAAGAGTTCCTACAAGATTGGTAATCTCTTTTCTTTTTCGTCACCATCAACAATTCAAGACTTCCTATAATATTTGAATTAGCTCAATTTTCTAGGGCAATAACTACAACTCCTCTCTAATCAAGATCTAGATTCTTCTTCATACTTTCATAAACCATATAAGTAATGCTTGCAGCTGGCACAACTTTGAGGAGATTTGGAACGAGGCCCTTGTAGAAACCTCTCAAGTTTTCATCCTTAAGAGTTTTCCAAAATACATCAGACATTCCCTTGTAAGCACCAGAAGCGTTGGAAGGTTGTGCTTGCAGTCTAAGAAGCATGATAATGTAATGTCAGCAAGGAGCAGACATAAAATATCAATTATAAAATTAGATCAGAAGAACAAAACTGATACAACCCACAACTCCATATTTTCTTTAGGGGGAAGGAGAGCAGAGAAATGACATTACTGACACAACATTATACCTTGTCCGAATAACCTGCAACGGATAGACACATGTAGCTCCAAGAGCTCCTGAAATTGTCCCACATCCGAGTTGTACTAAAGGACCAGGTTCTATGAAGGAGAAAAAAGAATAAAAAGATTTTAAGTTTTAGAAGTGCCAATTTATCAATGAAAAGTCAAAGCTGTTAGAATAAAATAAAATCAGTAAGTTCAACAGACAGTGTGGTTGCAGTAATATCATACCGTTGTCATTTAGAATATATCTCTTGGATATATCTTTCAAGGTGTCATAAGCAGTGAGATCAATGCCTGCATAAGGAATCATACCAAGAAGAGATGGAACAAGCCCTCTGTAAAAAGCCCGAGGTCCCTCGTGGACCCATATATCCTTTGTAAGTGTGCCCAGCTTAGGACCCCTTCCACCTTCAGAAGCACAAGTCTGCAACCTAGTTTTGACAAGATCCAATGGATAGATAGAAATCTGTGCAATTGCACCAGCCATACCACCTGCAAAAAGTCTTCCTGCAGTACCAATATCTGACTTGTTCCCTTGACCATCTCCTATTACATTTTTCAGCATTTCATAGGCATAAAACTTGATGGCACTTTCCGGTGCTACCTTCACAACATTCAATCCATTACCTCGGAAAAACCCTAGTAAACCATCTTGTTTCCATATCTTCATCACTGCTGGCATAATAGAAGCACGTCCAGTCTGAACTTGTAAGACCACCTTTAGACGATCAAGAGGAGCAGTTGCTGTGCGAGAAGCAGCTCCTGCTATCCCCCCTGCAATAAAATATCTGCTCCTGTGCACATGCTTGCTGATGCCTTCAGGAATTACAGCTTGTTCTCCAATGTCTACAAGGCACACCCTCTCCCAATGCTGATATATATTTTCAATAGTTGCTTCGTGAGGATAAAGTAGAAGAAAATCTCTCCATTCTTCAAAAGTGATAATTCCATTATTATCCTTATCGACATGCTCCACAAAGCGAGCAAGCTCCTCTTCATTAATTTCAATCCCTGCAGCAAAGAAGCTGAATAAGCTTATAATAAATTATAAAGGACTGAGCTGATTATCGCATGCAAAAAAGTAAGCAAGTAAAGAAGTAACAAACATACAATAGAATCCACCATCAAAGATTAAAGTTGAACGAGGTTTCTTATATCCCAAGCATCATGCAGATCCATAGAATTATTCCCAAATTTTTTAAAAAGAAAAAATCTATAAGAAACAAAGGAGTGCATACTCAAAAGAGACACATGTTCACAAGGGTTCACCAGTGTTATGAACAAATATAAAACCTCTGCAGTCTCTCAACTCTTTTTCAAACATAATTATTGCGACTATGGCTACGAATGAACTATTTTTTTATTTAAAAAAAAAAAAAAAACTTCTCATCACATTTACAGAATCTACAAATAAGCTTACCCTGTAAGTTTCTCATGACAAATTTTCTGTTAGAGACTTAACCATAGGCAATGCAAGTCTAAGGAGTAACATCAAATGTCAACATGTCTTGGGCCACTCATGGAAAGGGGAAATGGTAAGCAACAGCCAAACAAGATATTTTTACCACTATAAAGTACTAAGAATAGAAGGATGAAAGGGATAGTTAGCAAATAGCAATAATCACAAAATAAATAAATAAAGTGCACCACTCGCCAAAAATAAAATAAAATAATAAAGTACACCAAATAAATAAACCGCATGCAATAAATACAAGCCATAAGCCATGAAACAGCAAAATTAACAAGTGAGTGGCATGAGAAGGGGGTAAAGGAGTACCAGCCTTGACAAGTGCATCCCAGAGCTCTTCAGGGAGAATGCAGCCATTGTGTTCAACGTCAATAGCTTGAAAGATGCGGTAAAGTTCAAGTTCCTTGTCATCCATGTATCTCCTGAAGTCATGGTAATCAATTCTACCATCCCTGTCAGCATCACACACCTTCAAGAGATCCTTTGCATACTTGTACTCAGGAGGTATCTGCAGTGCAGATAACCCAGTCTCAATATGAGCATAATCCAAGTAACCATTGTTGGCAGCATCGAAGAAATTGAAAAGGCTCCGAATACGAAGATCCCTCTCTTCTTTCGTCTCACGCAAAGCCAGAAGCACATGATCCATCGAAACCGAACCCGTTTTCTTACCAGGGTTTCCGCCGTGATCGGCGGCCTGAGCCGCCGTGGATTTCGCTTTTGAAAACCCCGCATGCTCCATGTCTATGGCTTGGCTTGCCCCAGACATGCTTTTGTGCCTAGAATTTCAAAGTCACGAATTAGCAACAGAATTTTGCGGGAGGGGGAGACCCAATGAAGCATTTGAATTGTGAAGAACCGAAAGATGCTAACTTTGGGTTCAGATCTGAACAGCAATTTTTTGAAGTTTGAAGGGTCAAAATCTCAAAGTCATAAAAGAGCAACTTGAAAGAAAAATTGCTATTGAATTGAAGTTACGGTCAAAGGAGAGAAGGAAAAGAAAACAAAAACAAAAGAGTAATCAGAAGCTGATTGGACTAAGAACAGTACGGTGCGATGTAAAAGAAGAGGAAGAGGAAGAAGAAGGTACCTGAAATTGATAAAGAACGTGTAATTGGCAGGGACGGTTTCAACTCATGCATCAATATCAATCAATTAATATTATATTAAATAAAGCAATGCATTATGTCGCGTGTGCTGCGGAATTATGGTAGAAACCAAATGAGAGCAATTCAGAGGCAATGCGATCCATATTGAGAGAAAAGGGGCATCTAATTGGATATTCCTCACCAGCTATTTGGTTTCTCCTGTATCATTCATTTTATTTATTTTTTAATGGAAATCATTTTTTCATGTAATAGTAGATAGTTTTTTCATGTCATGAGACATCAAAAATTGTGCTGTTCTTTTTGTTTTTTTTTTAATAAGTGGTGGACCCCGCCACTTATTATATCTATGACATGAGAGATGATATCTCATATGACATTAGAAAAAATAAACCCATTTTTTAAATGGGTTAATCTAATCTCATATTGGATAAAAGAAAATTTCTAATGACACATGTGGGCCCGTCATTTAAAAAAAAGAAAAAAAAAGTGTCACGATTTTTAATGTATCTATTGAAGATAAAACTACTTTTATGTTGCATAAGAATAGTGTTTCTCATTTTAAATAGAGGAAATTACGGTCTCTCCCACTTGATAGTCAATAACATGTATCAGTGGGTGTAATATTAGTATTATACCATGTATTACCAGAAGTAATACATGGTATAAATACAAAAGTGACTTTCTTTTTTTCTCTCAAGTATAAAAGCAGGTGACATGACATGCTCTTATTGGTTTGTTGTACATACATTGGTAGTAAACTAGATTTTTTCCAATTACATAGTCATCTTTTTATTTATTTCAAAATCACATTTTTTTAGAGATATTTTAAACGGTTCGTCGCTTCGCGATTAGTCCGATTTGGAGCTGGTCCTGGGATTAAGGTTTTAAACCCTTCTCAAAGACGGTAGTGTGGAAGATCTTCCAATATATTCTCAATCTTTATGTAAGGAATTACAAAAAAAAAAAAAAAAAAAAAAATTCAACAAATATGTGAACTGGGAAGGATTAGTCGACGAAATATGAACTGAAGGCTAAATCTTGATATACCTCAGAATAATACATTTTTGTTACCACAAGATATATTGACAGCCGTGGATTATTTGGTTAGAATGAAATTTGTTAATACTATTTATTCAACAAATTCGATTGATTGATATGGGTTGATTTTTTGTTTCGATAAATTGAAGAAACAATAGTCAGACCAATAGTTGCTTCAACGGTTGCAATATCTATAACAAAAATTAAAAAAATATTTCCTTTTAATTGGTGACTATCAAAAAAATCAGAAAAGGCTACGAGATTGATATTAACTTCATTCAGTATAAGTTCAAGACACATAAGGGCTCTAACCATATTTCGGCTCGTGATCCCCTTTTAATGCATTTACCTCGTGGAACTTGGGGTTTTTGATGCATGCAAGTATTTTTGTTTGAATGTTGATATATAACTAATGGAATGCTTAAAGTATCGAACATATACTTTTACCTTTATCTGCTCAATTTTCTAGCACCAATTAAGCTATCATCATAGTAAAATCACATTCCTTTTATCCTAGAAATAAAGGAAGTTACATTTTAATGCAAGCAAATGTGGTGTTAATTAACTTATATGCTTACGAAGGGTATATCAACAAGGAATTTAAGAGTTTACTTATCAAGATATGAACAATAATATTTTTTTCACATGAGTTAAAGATTAGGAAGATATCTTCTATTTAAAATATGAGATTTGATATCTTATATCAGTTTAAACCTCCAAGGATAGCTTAGTTGGCAACTGAGCTCCTAAAGTTTGCTTGGGTCAGGGGTTCAAACTTTGTCTCTAGTAAATTCTTGGAAAATTATTGGGGGCCAAAGAATGTGTCTTTCTCCTCAAAGGAGGTAGCCTTCAGGCCTTACTCTAAGGATAGAGGGCCTCTAATCACATAATGATATGTATACCATTTGATCACTTTTTAACTTTGATTTTACAGTGCTTCTTAGGATTGACAACAGTCCATTAGAAAAGTACCTTAAGCTCTTTCAATCATCTATTTTTAGTTGTTCAATCTGATTTCCAAGAAATTTAAAAGACTTGAATGATCATCAAAAGACTTGAATCCTTATGTAACACAGAAATTTAAAATAAAATAAACAATCACACTGCAATAAGTAAAATAAGAACAGACTCACGGTATGTCATAATACATAAAAGGAATGAACAATGTATGCAGAATACTGAAAGAAATTCGAGTCCACAAAAAGTGTCTCCTTAAGACAATTTATTCCTTCACTGATATCGAAGGTTGAGGAACACTTATCTCCCAGAATAGAACGGATTGTGTCTGAAGAATGATGACACTATCAGTCAACAGCCCGAACGAACACAACTGAGTTCCTGAGGAATTACATCGAAAAGAATGGAAGAATGCATGCACAGATGAAAAAAAATCCAGCAGAGTAACAATGCAAAAAATCGGATGGATTTTCTGAAGGGAGTCTGTATATAGACGCCGGAAAGTCACGATGAATCGTCGCGACGGATGGCGGTCAAGCAATGCGACCCGTGACCGGTTTGGTTCGTATTTAACCGAACGCACCGGTTCGGTTCAGAATAAACCAAAAGGTAAGAACCAGTTCGGTTCAAAAATAGCGGGAAGCAACGTTTTAGTTTGAATAATTCGGAGGGAAACAATGGATAGAAGACATAGGTATTTTTGACAAAAAATTAATAAAATAATTTAATAAAAAATTATTTTTTATCTCACACACACGAACCGAATCGATCCAAGCTTGACGGATGGCGACAGCGACGGCTGCGCGTGTGGTTGACCAAAGGCCATCTAGCTCATCTCCCCTCCACAAAATATGTAGTGCCCCATGGGACAATTTAGCAGTGTGAGGTGGGAGCTTATATACCTTCTCACCTCCTACTAGTTGTCTAATGTGAGATTTCTTATAACCTATACTCCCTTTCAACTTCCCTATTTTTTTTTTCTTCCTCAACCCATTTCTTATTCATAACCCATACATATTCCAATAGTATTAACATAGTATCTAACAAGGTTGACATCTTATACATATTGTTAGCACAATAAAACTCATTAATAAAGTATTTTCACAAGATTTAGTGGTAGTGTGAGAATATTTTACATATATAGTATATCAATATTAAAGTATATTTCTATTAACTTTAAAATTGAATAAAAACAATGTTAAGTTATGTGCTAAATAATTTTCTTTTTATTTTGCATATTTTATATGAGTAAAGAATTTCTCCAGTCAATGGAGATAAGTTATCTCCAGTGAGCACAAAACGATGCCGTTTTGGGCGGAAATCAAGATATTTTTATAATTATAATATATTGCAGGGTTATATTAGTCTTTATCATTATAATTTTTTAATCTAATATCCTCAAAACGACGTCGTTTTGACTTCATTGGAAATAACTTTATCTCCCGTGACCGAAAAAATACTTTTCTCGTTCGATATTATTATATTTGAAAGAAATAATCATGAGATGACAAGGCAAACAAACGCATGAATTTGGGCCATGTTTCGGACCATAACTTTAGGCTATTAATTTCGTTTCCTATTTTATTTTAATTTAGGATATTATGAAATTATGTTAGTCTTTTTTTATAAAGAAATTATGCTAGTCTTTTACAGTTTTACTTATTCTTTTCCTTTGAGAGTTAAATTTCATTTGAATTCAGGATATTACGGAATTATGTTAACTCTTTTTTTTTTTTGGGTACAAAAGGAGGGCTTAAAAGCCCAAGAAAGAAAAAGACAAGAAAAACAAAACAATCAAAACTAGAAATATGAAATCTAAACTAGCCATCTGCTATCTATACTGATTGCTAGTGACAGCTCTTATATCCTCTTCTAGAAGAGGAACTAGGCCTTCTGGAGCTGCATTATAAGCAACGAAGCCTTCCTCATTTGATACAGGCTGATGAGCGAGCCAATGGGCGCACTTGTTTACCTCCCTATAGCCGTGAGATAAAGTAACCATCAGTATAGATATGTTAACTCTTTATTTATTCTCTCTTTTTTTTTTTTTTTGATAACAATTTATTCTCTCTTTTTGGAAGCTATGGTTTTGTTACACGTTGTAAGCCTTTGCTAATAAAAGAGAATTATCAGTCATTAAGATTGGTTTAGTAAGGAGAGATTTGAATAATTTATATGAGGTCATAATTATTATTGTATAAAAAAATAAAAATAAAAATAAAAATATTAGAATTTGAGTCGACAATGCATATCTTTCCTTGAATTTAGTGTCGTACGATATAATAATTGGATGTTTTTCATGTGTCTTTGTTCAAATTTGAATCTCAAGTGTATGTGTGTTTTTCTATGTATATATGAAGAAATTATTACAAAATTTCTTTTATTTTTTTATTTTGTTATATAAGTACTAGATTAAGCGACAACAACTAACAAGCAACAAACAAACATAGTTTAGCATGTAAAAAAAAAAAAAAAAATAAGCAAAAGAAAATACAACACTAGTTAGGTTAAGTGTGTTCCCAATTTGGAGCATAAAAATTTTCCTCTAGAGGAACAATATATATGCTTTTGATCTTAAAAAGTACATTAATGGAGTTTACATAAAAGTTGCATCCAATAATAATTCTTCTTCTTGGAACAGCGTAAAATAAAAATTAGTTGATCTGTTGCCTGAAGTTTAGTTCTAAGCGTTTGACCAAAAGGCCAACATAGTTGCTTAAACCAACAACGTGGCATGCATGCATTGAATAAATATTTGGTGCTGTGCATAAAAAATTCGGTACATTCCATCAATAGAAATATTATATATTAGTTAAAGTTTTCTTTTTTCTGTCAAATTTTTTATCTCTCCTACGATGTGTAATGCTCTTATTGGTGGAATACACTGAATCTTAATGCATAAGTAGCATCAAAGTTTTATTCGCATGCATTGCCACCTATTTGAACCTTTGCATCCGGTGCGTGATACATTTGCTCCTATGCTCTCTCAACTTCAACGTCCCACTTTCCCAAACTCCCAATCCAGCTTTCAGAGTATAATTAATCTTCGTTGGTGCTAAATCCGAAGAGATAGAAAGCGATGGGGCACAAAGAAAAATCAAAAGAGCGAAAAGAAAAGAGATCGCAAGAGATATCACTTCTGAGGACCATTCCTTATTCTGATCACCAGAGGTTTCATTAGTAAACATAGATGCATAGTTATTTTTATATTGTAGTTTGCCTTAACATTTATCCAACGTCTTTACTAACATTTTATATTGCAATCAATTCCTTAAACTCATTTTTTTAATTTTAATTTTTTTTCTTACTTTCTCTAGTATCTTCTCTCTCTGACATGCTATCCTTTTTATGAATCAGGAATGGATCTTAACCTTTGATATATTTCTTTTTATGATAAAATAATAAATAAATAAAACACACAAGTTTGAGAATTGTGTCTGTTGATGGCAATCCTTAATTCACGGAATTAGTGAATATGTGTTTGAACTGTGTGGTTATGCATAGGTGGTGGTCTAAGGACACAGTTGCGGTGGTTACTGGTGGAAACAGAGGAATTGGTTTTGAGATTTCTAGACAACTTGCTGAGCATGGATTAACTGTAATACTAACATCAAGAGATGCAAGTGTTGGTGTTGAATCGATTAAGGTTTTGCAAGAAGGTGGTTTGGACGTGGCTTGTCATCAACTTGATATATTAGATTCTTCATCCATCAACCAATTTGCAGAATGGTTGCAGGAAAATTATGGTGGCTTAGATATTCTGGTAATTATTAAGTTTCTAAAACACATGAAGTTTAACATATGTCTCTTATTGTATGTTTTTAAGCAATAATATCATATATCTGCAGGTAAATAACGCAGGTGTTAATTTCAATGTAGGGTCTGATAATTCTGTTGAAAATTCTCGTAAGGTTATTGAAACAAATTATTATGGCACCAAGCGTATGATTGAAGCTATGATTCCATTAATGAAGACATCCACTGCTGGTGCTCGTATTGTAAATGTTAGCGCTCGCCTAGGTCGACTAAATGGCAAACGAAATGTAAGTAAAGAAAAAATATGTTGTTTTCGAAAATTAATTTTTACTTACATAATGTTTAAGTTACTTGAGTTATATAATGTTGGTGACTTTTGATTCTTGCAATTTTTCTTTCTCTTGCTATTTATACCGAAACAGTGACCAAAGTGTCACTTTTTTGACAAATTTTTTATCCAAATGACACGTGAACAATACTTTTTACCAGACTGCCACGTGTCATTGGCTGAGTCTGCTGGACTGATTGCTGCTGAAACTGCGAATTCGCCTCTAGACTTGTCTGAGTGGAGGCCGTAGTCTAGTAGTGCTGAACTCTTGATGGTCTCTCTTTTATGAAAGGGATTGCTTTGTGACATGGGTTGAGTCTGATAGGAGGAATTGCTTTGAGATTGTGGGCTAGTCTGAATTCTAGATGCAAGCTTCTTAGGATAATTCGCTACCACTGTAGCGAATTTTGTAGCTAATGATTTCGTGACACATGGTCATATTGCGACCAAATTTGCTATAATTGGTTGCGAATTATGATACGTCAGTTTTTTTCTGCGAAAGTGTGCCACGTGTCATACAATCATTGACGAAGGTAATTTGCTATCAATCGTAGCGAATTACGCCCACGTGACAATCTGGTAAAAAGTATTATTCACGTGACATTTAGGTAAAATTTGACAAAAAGTGACATTCTAAACGCTGTTCCACTTATATAAAAAACTGATTCTGAATTGGTGGGGTAACAGAGATTGGAGAATGAAGCTTTGAGGGAGCAATTAAGCGATGTGGAATCCCTTTCAGAGGAAGTGATTGATGGGATTGTATCAACTTTTCTGCAACAAGTAGAGGATGGAACTTGGGAATCAGGAGGATGGCCTCAAAAGTTTACTGATTACTCAGTGTCAAAATTAGCAGTTAATGCTTATACGAGGTTTATGGCAAGGAAGCTTTCTGAGAGACCTGATGGTCAAAAAATTTATATTAACTGCTATTGCCCTGGTTCGGTCAAAACAGCTCTTACAGGTTATGCAGGAAGCGTTACAGTTGAGGTAGGTGCTGATACTGGAGTATGGCTTTCTCTTCTTCCTGACCAAGCAATTACAGGGAAGTTTTTTGCTGAGAGACGGGAAATTAACTTTTAAGCACTGGGAATTTGGGGATTAGAAGATTCAAATTGTGACCTATTCCACAGACTGCTGCAAAAACGAAGAAGAAATTTTAAAACAAAAATAATAATCTTATTCATTATAAATTGGGGAAAATAATCATACAAGGACTACCATCGTATTTTGGGATTGGGATGAAATGATAAATTTTCCTAACAATTCGTCAATGTGACTTCCCATTAGATTATTTGAGACACTTTCATGATCATCCCTTGGAAGTCTTACCATGTTTAATGCTATTATTCTGTATCATGTTTTAAGACATATTCCGTTAGTGGCGAGTTCATACTTGGTACCAAAGGTAAATTCTCATATATCTCATGCATCATACGAAAAATGGATAAAATTCACTAAAGAGAAGAGAAAGAAATTAAAAATTGATCTTATCCACTTTTTTATATGTTTGTCTGTCTCATATAAACATATTTCCCTTAAAATATATACTATCTTGCCTTTTCTCAATAAGTTTTTGCTAAATTCATTAAATGCAAATAATCTTACAATTAGCATAAAAAAAGGGCAAACAAATCCTTCTTTTCTCTATCCCTCGCAATGCCAAATAGTAAGCTTTTCTTAAAAATCAAAATCAAATTGATGACATAATTATCTAAATTTAAGGGTACAATTGAGGCTTGACTAGGAATACAAATTTTCGTTTCTTTTTTTGAAAATAGGAATTCAAATTTTCTCAAACTAAATCTTGAAACGTATATGAATATTAAAGAATTTTTATTAGAGGAAGAATATTGTAACAACCAAATAGTATTATACTCATGTTATTACCAATTAATTTCACCGTTAGATCGGTTATATTGATTAACGGTTATATTTAGTTTCATCTTTGTGTGGCTATGATTTCTCATATTTAATACTTTATATTTATTTTTACCTTTGTGTAGTTTTGATTCCCCATATTTGATGTGAAAACAATAAATATGAGGAATCATAACCATACAAAGATAAAAATAAATATAACCACTGGATCAATATATCAATCTAACGGTGAAATTGATTGATAGTAATATTAGTAGTAATACTAATTGATTGTTACAATATCTTATTTTTTTATTTTATTTTTTGGTAAACAATATCCTACCTTTTTTTTTTTTTTTTGTAAATATATCCTACCTTTTTTATTAAAAGAAAAGAGTATTTTATTTTTTTGGGGGTCCGGTAATATAGAATAGAAGTGGTTGCGTTTTCCTTGTTTGTTTAGGTGGCGTGGTGTGGAGGAAGGAAAGCCACGGTAGCAAGATGGCCAGAAAGGTTCCTCGTTATAAATCTCTGTGTACGAGAAGATCAAAGAAAAAAGAATCAAATTATAATAATGGCTTCTTTGTATATGAGAAGATTTGTAATCAACGTTCACAGAGTTCTCAAATCCTCCTCGCCACTGCCAACAAATCCTCTTTTTCTGTATTCTTCGTTTTCCCCTTACACTTCTCAGACTACTAGTAACGACTCTGATCCTCACTCGCTCCAAATCGATTTATCTAACCAAGAAGCCAAAAGACGCCTATTCAACAGGTTCCCCTTCTCATTCTCACTCTTTCTTTCTTACTTTTTTATTTGTTTATTTGATGATCCTGTTTTGATATATATGATTGATGAGTGAGGTATGATTAATGAATGATCCAATAGGTTATTGTATAGAAGCAAGCAACGAGGGTTCCTCGAACTCGATTTGATTCTCGGAAAATGGGTAGAGGACAATATTCACTCCTTGGATGAAAATCGTATTCAAGCTCTCATTCATGTCCTCCACTTGGTATTTGGTTTTCCTCTTTACTTAATAATAATGATTGTGTTTCAACCATGACATGATATTCCACGCCAATGACACTGAGTAGCCGGAGTTTTAATGTTTAGTGTTTGGAATTTTTCTAGTTAAAATCCAGAAGCTGTTTGATTTGAGATGAACTTGATATTTAGTATGATTGCAATGCTATCTAGAAAATTCTAAACTCAAGACCTTCAACAATATACATGGTCTAATGTCCTGAATTTTGGAGTTAACCTGTGAATATATTTGATAGGGGTGTTTTGGAAATGAGTTTTTGTTCTGTTTGTACATGAAAATGGACTTCATTCTATTAATTCCATCTGTGCGAAGTTCCAGAATTTTTTTCAATGCACCAGTTCTTGAATTCAGGTTATTTTTCCTGTTAGCCATTGATGTATCTCCTATAAGAGGGGATTTTTATGTTTGGAATCTTTTCAATTGTAAATTTAACATCTTTCCTTCAGTAAAATAAAGGATGGAGTACCAACAAAGCCCAGCACAGTTGGTAGATAACTGGGTTCCTTAAGCATGCTGACAGGGATTGACCCCTGGCCGTGTGTATGGAAAAGGCTTTGTTGGGAGAAGTTTACCCGCTTAATGTGACTCCCGCCTCGAAAGGATTAGTCTTCGAATGTCGGCCGGAGGATACCTTGGGAAACCAAAAAAAATAAAATAAAAAATAAAGGATGGAGTGGTGAGATTGAGATTAATCCATAAAATGTCGGTGAGACTTAATCCAATTATCAGTGCCTCTCGAACTTACTAATTTTGTACACCTTTATGATCCAAACTAGATCTTGAGTTTGTAAATTAAGAAAGGGGAGTGACAACTGTAGTTTGTGCCAAGGTTTTGTTGGATTTACTTCCAAGTTCTAATGAAAATTCGAAACGAGATACCGATTAGTTGCTTAAGTTTGACTGACAGAGCTGTTGACTTGAGTTCATGTCTTCAAAAATTCTATTTGTGTTGTGCAGGAGAATCCAGATTTATGGAGCTGGATATCTGGGCAGGAGCAACCCCCAGAATCAGTGAGCATAAATCCAGTGAGTCTCGTTACATTATTTAAATGATGAAATCCCTATTTGGTTATTTCGTTTTATTTTTTTTATTCTTTGGGGTAAAATTCTCATGCCAGTCGTTTATTGCTTAGGTCTTTACTGCAGTGAGGGAAAGAGTTATGAAGAATCTTGAGAGCTATTCTGCTCCCGAAACAAGAGCAACACCTGGCCAACCATGGGTAAGAGGCTGGGATGACATCAAGAAAGGTCGGGACGGTCCAATTACTGGGAATCAGTAGCTTGAGAATAAACGATCTTGTGATTTGTAATAATGAATAAGTCTCTTGTCTACCATTTTTGTTACTATAAATAAGGGCTGTGTAACTGCAATTTGAAGGTTTGTATTAGCTGCTTGGAGATCAGCAAAAGGGGTGAAACCTAGAAGATTGTGACTTGTTTTAACCTTTGTTTTGCAATCGTATTATATCTGTTGTGAGTGATTATATGTTCTTGTTTAAAATGCTTGATTCTGGATTCTTCTTTTCCTCTTCCAACAAATCTCATTTTAGGATGTGTTTGGTAGGAGTTGAAATGTATCATTGCCAATGTTCTTAGAACTTTTTTTTTTCCTTATATGTTATTGTTCTGCGTATGTTCATTATGTTGAGAACAAAGAAATAAAACAAGGTTATCATTGTTACATGGAATGGTTTCATTAATTTGATGGTAGTTGCCCAACAGGGCCAAGATGAAACCAATATATAAACCAATCTAGACCAGTTAAATGTTCTTAATTTTCTCACCCCACTACATAATATGCATTAAGTATTTTCACTGGATCACTCTCTTTCATTCACCTTCATTATACATAACCACCCATGAAGCACAACATGCAAAATCACTCTGCACAACCTCCATACACTTCGTCTATATATGGCATGGCCCCATAGTGAATGAGGGGAACATATTTTCAGTATTCATAAGGCTTACCATCATTGTTACAGCTTTCACCCTTTTATCTTGTGCTTCATCATTGTTACAGCTTTCACCCTTTTATCTTGTGCTCGAAGCACATTCATCCCCTTCTTTAAGTAACACACACATCCTTAATTATCACTCATCGGATTGTTGGATGATTCATCATTACTAGACATTTTTACAACGCATCCGTAAATAGAAACACCTGCTTTCATCTGTTCAACCCAACTTATCACAAACCAATGTATAATCAATTTGTCTAAAATTTTTAATAAAAAATAATGGAGAAATATAGACAATAAATAGGTATATATATATATATATATATATATATATATATATATATGTTTTCATTAATTCGGCAATAAGTTAAAATTCAATTATTTAAAAGTGTATAAATTATAAAAATATATAACTTACCACATAGTGATACAAATTCAGTTTACTTTGGTTCTCCCATAAGCAAAAATAAAATAAAAAACCGAACCAAAGCAATTCATCTATTTTTTTTAAAAAAAATTACTGTTTTCTTTTTAGGTTAGCGAGGTGGTGAAAAAAAAAAGGAGGGGCAAAGTTGTATCACAGGGAATGGACCGTCAACAATTTTCACGTGCCGTTGTGATGTGAAAAGCCCTATTGACCTGAAGAATAATTTGGACCTCATCTTGTTTTCATTCTCAACCAAAATTTAGCAATGGCCTCTGCAAGAGAAGCTGTTTGTTTGTTGGTATTCCTCTTTCTTCAACTGTTGGCATCGTCGATAGGGGACGACATTGATGGGGATCCAACTCCAGTTGCGTGGCCTCATCAGTTCCACTCAGTGCTTTTCATCAACAGAAGCGGTTCTCTCCAGAAAGTTGACTTATGGTATGACTGGCCCAATGGTCGCAACTTCAACATCATCCAACATCAGCTCGGTGTCCTCAAATATGACCTCGAATGGAACAATGGCACCTCCTTTATCTATACATTCGAACCCTTCAACAACACTTGCAAAGTCCTTCATTTCGATGTTGGTATTCTCCGCCCTAATTGGATGGATGGTGCTACCTATTTGGGTCAGCAGCGTGTTGACAATTTCCTCTGCAACGTGTGGGAGAAAGTTGAGTTCATATTGTACTACGAGGATGTCCTCACTCAAAGACCTGTTAAGTGGATCTTCCTCAGCTCCGGTTAGTTAGTTAGTTAGTTACTATGTGCCACTCTCTTTTTCCAATTAATCACAATTAATTATCTTGTTAATTAGTCTTTAATTTTTATATAGATATATGTATCACTTTCCTATTTTGGTGAGTGCAGGAATGACAGCTCATGTGATGACATTTGAGGTCGGTGCAGTGCTTGAAGATGAAAACTGGCAGGCTCCTGTGTACTGTTTTAGTGAGGCCAAGACACAGAAGAAGAGGAGTGCTCGCCCCTTATTAGATCTAGAATCTGCTGTTCATGGTGGTTATCTTGGGACATTAATGAGAGCCGAGTAATTGTGAAACCCGCATATGCACTTTTATGTAATAAGACATGTTTTTAGTTTTGTTGGATTGGATGCATAATAATAATTAAGTCTTAAGTCTTGCACAAGGCATGATTCTTAGTGTAGTTTTCTCTTATGAGCACTGAGATAAAGCAAAAGTAGTACATGTCATCTCAGCTCATTTAGAAATAATGAACTGTAGTAGTCCTTTGGACCTTGAGTAAATTGAAATAGGCCCTTAAATCTGCCGTAAAAGTGGGTGAGGTTTATGTTTGTAAAAATATATTGTTAAGTAGGATTTTTTTTTTCATGTGATGAGATCATACGAAGGCCTTAAATAAGGTTCATAAACTTTGAAAAGATCCACCTATTTAATGTTTTTGTATTTACTTATGGTACGCCAACCATCTCAGAATAAATCAGTATGAAGATACTAAATTGATAGCAGAGTCACACCCAATTTGCTCATTTAGGCCCATTATAGTTTGATTAGTTTGATGGAATAGTTTTCCACTTTTCCTTTTGATGTCTGCACACATATTGCTCCCCGCAATGTAAGTTGATTACAAATGGAACAACCAACATCAGTGTATGATATATCATGAATATCTTCCTTGGGATCGCAGGCTTGGGGTATCTTACGAATTCAATCCTGCACCAACTTCAAGTTTCAATTATATGTTTTCTCTCTTGAATTAAAGCCTTTCATATAGCTACAATGAATTAACTCTGCTACCATAACTACCTGTCAGTTTATTGTCCTACTCGTAAATTATTACTATCTCGATCTTTCTGGCAAATGTCAATATTTGGTTTTCAGTCGAAAATACCAAAATCATTAAAGTGCTGGCTTTATACATTTTGTTCAAGATGGATGAAAAATCCTAGAATATACCCAACATTCAGCCTAGTATACGCTGTTCAGATAGAAATATAATCCAGCCAGCACAGCAATTCCCACGACAACCGCAATAGGAAGTGCCTTCCTGTGCAAAATAGATTGCATAACATTAATACTGAAATTAAGCTGGGATAATGGCTGTTTGAATTCTGTTTTCAAAAATAATTTTTTAATTTTCAGAACAAAAAAAAACCCTATTTGATGAGACCTGTTTTGTAAAATTAATTTTAAAAGTTATAACTACTTTTTAGTTTTTATAATCAAATTTAGAGAACATATATAAATTGTTTTTGTTTTGTGTTTTGACTTTTAACTTTCAAAACAAACACAGAAAATATCTATTTCATTAACAGATTTTTTTTTTTTTTTTTTTAAAAAAGCATAACACAATCAAACAAGCTCATAATGCCGGGCATAGAAACAAATGCAGATTTATGGCTCACCCAATTGCTTCATCTCTCTGTACTTCGGCTTTTCGTGCCTTTCTAACAGCTGTATCATTTGCGTTTTTTGTGACAGCTGGTGCATAGGTCTTAAATCTTCGTTTTGGAGCACCACAAACTGCAAAACATTAATGGCAATTATAAAGCAGTTTTCCAATGCTGAAACTATCGGAATGAACTAACTCTTTGACCAAATGTGAAGTGGTCCAAAGCAAGGGATACCTTCTTCATCAATGGGCTAATAGACTAAACACAATAGTGAACTTGACATCCCATATTAATTATGACCTTATGCAAACTACTCAAGTCCCTCACTACTAGACCAATCCTAATGACATGCTTTTAAGTTCTAATAAGAGTTGTCTAACCATTCCAAACCACATTTTTCTTTCTTTATCCATATCATTGTGATACTAGCCATAAGTTCCTCTAAAATAAGTTCATTTGTAGAGTGCACAAGTAATCATGTATTCTTTAATTTAATTTGAAGTATATGTTGATCTTAATTCACTAAAATTCAAGGCTAACATCTTGATGCATTATGTAGAGAAGTTTACTTTTGAGCAGGTTTTTACATTATGAGAGAGCTTAACTCTACATATCTCTTTTATTTTTATTATATCGGAAAAAGTTTAAGAATTTATAAGATTGATGTAATGAAGGATCAATATTACATGGTAAAATTGCATTTTAAATAAACAAGATTGAGGGTGTTTGTAATAGTAATAGAAGGGGTAGGGTGAAGTCAGAAGCAATTACCAGGGCAGAAGTAGCTATCAGGCAACTTTTCAAAAGGAGTCCTATCGTTGTAAATATATCTGCATTTATCAAAATATTAACACTGTGTATTCAAACAAGTAAACAACAACTCCATTGATATTGAATGATGAAAAGGGTAAAGATGAAAATTAGGAAACCCGCAATCGCGACAGATATAGGCTTGCTTGGAAGCCACGCGCATGGAAATCCTGGGTGCCCCTGAAGTAAGATGGTGTTGATTAGGATGAAGTAATAGGTTGATTGAACCACAGAAGAAGGATGATGATTTCAGAGCTAAAGGGTTGAAGGGTCTTCGAATGCTAGTATTGGCAGTGGGTGCTGTGTGAAGGCTGATTTTAGTGTGTGCCTGCACTTGCAAGGCCATTTTTTTTTCTTTACTCTTCCTCTAAATCAGTATCACAGAGAAAAGAGAGACAAGAAGAAGATAAGAGAAGCAACGAGAATGGTTGTGGAAACAAAGGGGGAGAATGTGCAAATATGTCTCATGCCTACGTGGAAAGCGTGTCATCCTCACCACACAAGCTCTTTCTCACTTTCTTGTTTTATCCCCTTTGGACAAATGAACAATGTCTTATTAATATATTTTGCATGGATTTTCGACCCAATTTTAATGTCAAAGACTGTAATTTTCGTGAGACGCGACGAAGAAAAATACGGGACTTGTGCACAGATGCGGATCTAGGGGAGAGGCGTGGAACTTTGATTTTTTAATATTATATATGAAAATAGTTTTTTTTTTTTAATAATAACATATTATTTGTCCTAATAGTTAACACCTTTATAAAAAATATTTGTAATAGTTAGGATATTCTTTAATCCTAATAATATTTGTAATTTTAATATTTATTTTCATCATAAAAAAATCTTGGGTACGCGACTTGGTATTATTTTGAAAAAATATTTAAATTTTTTAATCAATCCAGTAAAAAAAAAATTATATCACAATGGTCAAAATGCCTATTTTGCATTAAACTGCAATGTATTTATGCCATTGAACCCGGCTTATCATTGGAAATCCAAACTAGAAATATGAATATATATATATATATATATATATATATATATATATATATATATATATATATCTCTCTCTCTCTCTCTCCATTCTGCTGAGTAGGAGCGTAATAATTAATCAAACCGTCAACATTTGATTGGACAATGTTGACATGGCAAAATTACGACATTGGAAAGCTGGCATGGTTGGATCGATTTTAAGAAATGCTCTTGTACCTTCGCCAGTGTGAGTGGGGTAATATTTCATTTTGCTTTTCTTAACTAACGACCTACATTCTAACTGAATCGTGCAAGACAAGATTATCTTCTTGGGTTGGTAGGGGCAGGTTCCAAGCTTAATGACTTAAAATATGGTTAATGGACACTCGCACAAATTCTTAAAGATTTAGTATTATGAAGTTATAATCTCAAGTCTGAAAATTGGCAGTTAATTCATATGGTTTGTGTCTTCAATCTTTCGAAAAGAATTAGTTAAAGAGGAAAGAGGGTGGAAGTGGTAATATTATTCATCACCGATTGGAATAGGCAAAGAAAAGAAAAAGCAAATTATTATCGGGTGATAAAATTTTAGCTGCAAGCCAAGTTCCAAACTTTAACAGCATAAATACCATGCTGCATATGCATCCAGTGTCATAGAAGAAAAGTGCCTAATATTTTTTGGCTAAGAATCGTACTGATTAAACTGAAAGCACGGTCTATGGTCTGATGAATTCTCTAGTCTTAGCCTTCTTATGCAAGCATTCGAGCACATTGTCAAAGCTTTTTGAGAAAGAATCCAGCACCTCATGTTCCAGTTGTGATCCAACAGAACTCCAATCAATCCCCAATTTCTCAATTGCATTGTAAATGTCCTGGGCCTCTGATACTTTTGCATCAATGGTTCTTGAAAGAATGCCATGGTCCATGAATGCTTGAAGAGCTTGGTCTGGCATGGTTGAAATCTGTAGAGGTACCAAAAAATAACAAGGTTAATGAATGATCACCTTCACCTTTTAGCTTGTGCTTACCAACATTAACCTGTATTAAATTACATGGTCACCAAATCAAGTTAATAGATATGCAACTGATATGGCTTACCGTATCTGGTCCAATAAGAGAATCAACATAAAAGGTGTCAGGGTAAGCAGGATTTTTCACATTTGTTGAGGCCCACATCAGCCTCTGTTTCTTGGCACCTCTCTTCTCTAGGCTCTCCCATCTTGGACCAGAAAACTTTTTCTGGTAAAGCTGATAAGCTAAGACTGCTTGAGCAACCGCGGCCTAAAAAAATTGTAACATTTTCAGGAAAAACAAAATGTGTATATATAAGGAAGGGTCAACTTACTCCTGTATAAATCTTACACTCATTATTATCCTTTACGTATGTAATGACTCTTAATTTATATATTTAAAGATAGTTAGATATAAGAAAATAAAATGTTTTGCACCTTTCCTTTGAGATCAACAGCCTCAGTGGTACCAATTTGCTCAAGTTTCTTGTCAATTGTAACATCCACTCTGCTGATGTAGAAAGCTGCTGCACTTGTTAACTTAGAGAGATCAGTCATGTCAGCAGCTTCAAGGCCATCCAAGTATGCATTAATTACTTCCTCGTATCTAGGGAGACAGAATATGAGCTGTTCAAATACACAAATGATGAGTATATTGCTATTGCAGCCTGCAAGGATCAAATTTTCGTGACATCAGAATGCCCGTAACAAACTTACAGTGACATTTACACTTATCCCCAGAGAAATGACCTCCTTTATAGCAGGGATGGATTCATCAGTTGCAGGAATTTTGATGTAAACACCTGGACATCCAACCATTTTATGAAGCCATTTTGTTGCCTCTATTGTCCCTTCGGTATCATTTGCAAGCTTGGGGGAAACTGCAACAGATACATGCCCATCTAACGCATCTGTTTCATTGTAAATTGGCTCCATTAGTTTGCAAGTATCCTGTATATCCTTCACAACCAATTCCCAATAAGCATTTTCAATGTCTTTCCCTGCCTCTATCAACTCCCTGCTTGACCGATAATCAAATTAATAATATTTTTATATCATAAAGAAAGAAATGTTAACATGCATCAGTTGCATATTCTCATGAACATCAACATCAAAATCAACAACACCTTTATCCCAAATTAATTGGGGTCAGTGGTAGATAAACTCAAATGAAAGATACAAAAAGGTTGAGAAAAAAAAGAACATAAAAGTAAAAATAAAAATAAATAAATAGAATAATAATATATATATATAAATAAATAAAAGTAAAAAAAGAAAGGGAAAAAAAGAAGAGGGGAAAAGGACTAAAAAGGGATCATCTGGAACATAAGAATAACACCGAGTCTAACCCTCCACCATGCTTATAGCTTTTCTCCATTCCGTTCTAAGGCAATACCGTCCGCCAATCTATATTTCACTCCATTAAATCTTGTTTTATTACCTTTCTCCTAGTAAGTTTCGGTCTACCTCTACCTCTTATTGTGTTGAGCTCTTGATAACAAACTTCTGTTCTTACGGGAGCATCAAGGGGCCTTCTCATTACGTGTCCAAACCACCTCAATCTATGTTCTCTCATCTTCTCAGCTACCGGTAGTACTCCTACCTTTCATCGAATATCTTACTTTCTTATCTTATCCATCCTCGTATAACTACACATCCACCTTAACATCCTCGTCTTTGCATAAGCTCAAATCACAAGTTAATTTACCTCTGGCACAATTCTCAATTTTCTCCAATACCAAATATCAGAATAAGAGTTCACCGGTTTCATTAACTAAAATTTGTTTTTCCCCTTATGCAACTAAAATATATGCCTCTAGCTCATTGAATGCAATTTTATTTTACCTTGACAACTTACTCATGTCAGAAGAGAGAAAGAAAACAAGAAGCATAATATAAACCTTTTCCCAATAAGTGAGGTAAGACACCACTTCTGCGTTCAATTAAAATAAGAACATGGCTGGGGATTTCGTTTTTTATTCTTTTAAAGAAGTAATCTAATGCAAACCTAAGTACAAGTTAAAAAAATCACCTAAACTGCTCATCGTAAGCATTTGAGGATAATATAGCTCTTTCAAAAATCTGCAACACGTGAGAACAGTGTACTTGAATTAAAGCCAATACACAGAAAATAGATAAAACTAAAAGCAAAAGAATATTACTTTTAACATGGAAGCTGAAGAAGAAGAAGAAGAATCAGAATACCGCGGGATTGGAAGTGACACCTCTGATTCCAGAGGCAATCAATGGAAGCAAATCTGAAACAGGGCGACAGAGATTGTCATAGTAAGGACTCTTTCTGTGCTTCTCATAGAGATCATGCAGAATTGTTCTATTCATCATTGTCCTGTTACTATTAGCCATTCTTCCTCCCAAAAATCGCAATCTGTGGATTGGTGTTATAAAACAAACTTCAAAGTTCTAAAAAGGAAAAAAAAAAAAAATTAAAAAATGTAAAAATAAAATGTCAAAGCATGCACCACAAAACTAGCCTAAGTCATAGGTGGATGCAACTCACATTTAAAATAAAATGGGAAAAAGATTGTTTTAATCTAAAAATATGAATGCCAAATGTTGTATAGAACTATAGATAGAGGAATGCAGGGGAGAAGAAAATGTGGGAAAAGGAGTACCTATTAAACAATGGAATATGTAGAGTGATAATTCGTATGTGTATTTTTTCCTTTGTATAAAGGTAATTATATACACTAATTTTGGGCTTCACCATTACTGTCGAGCTTCAATCAAGTCACAAATTACTCTAAAAATTAACGCTAAAATCAAAGAATTGATGTCTCTCGTCAATCAATTTTATTTACAATTAATTCCTATAATTATTACCACAATCAAAATCAAATTGATCACGGATACTATTAAATGTATACAACTCAATAGTACTGAAGTACTCATTTGAGAGGAAAATATTTGAGAAAAGAAATAGTGGTGTGTTCTTGATGAAATTGTATTTTTGAAGGAAAATTTTCTTATAATAAAAGCCCATTTATCTTCTGTATTATTCTGCACCAATAAATCTCCTACAATTGGAACAAGCAAAGGGAAAATGGAGAGAGGGAAAAAAGAAAAGAAAAAAGACATGACCACGTAGACAACAAGTGTTACATATGGTGCAACTCTTATGGTAGCTGAAAAAGAAGAAAAAAGGGTATCACTTTATGAGATCAGGGAACTGACCTCAAGGTTCTACTATGCGAGCGAAGTTTGTGTCCTCCGGAAGCAAAAAAAAAATATTGGTGACATTGAGGTGAGAGAAAAAGGGGAGAGTGACCATTTTGCCACGTCTGACAAAAAAATTTACCAGACTGCCACGCCAACGGTAAATTTTGCCAAAATGTCACGCGGCATATTTCGCTACATTGTGTAGCGAAATATGTTTGCATATAATTCGCTACACAGTGTAGCAAAATATGTCATGTCAGGCTGCACAGTCAGCAAAAATGACATGTGTCAAGCAGGCATAAATTCGCTACATTGTGTAGCGAATTATGCTTGGGTTCTGCCTGCTTGACACGTGTCATTTTTTCTAAATGTGCAACCTGACATGGCATATTTCGCTACACTGTGTAGCAAATTATATGCAAACATATTTCGCTACACAATGTAGCGAAATATGCCGCGTGACATTTTGGCAAAATTTACCGTTGGCGTGGCAGTCTGGTAAATTTTTTTGCCAAACATAACACAATGGTCACTGTTCCGAGAAAAAGTTGAGGGGAGAGAGAAGAAAGAAAAAAAATTGGTCAAAGTGTCAATATTTTAATGGAAAGATCACGATGGTCCTGGACTATATTAAAAAAATTTCCTACTATGCACCCAGCTTGGTAGAGTGAATAAGGTTGACTGTGGATCTGAAAAAACCAATGCCATCATCAGAGTTCTTGGGAATAGTGACTAGACTGTCACATTTAATGCAATTTTTTACCAATCTATCATGTAAATAATATTTTCTACCAGAATGCCACGCTTTGAAATTCGCTACGACTGGTAGCGAACTTGGTCGTCAATAGTTTCACGACACATGACAAACTTTCGCAGAAAAAGTTGACTGTCATATGTCCAAGTTTGCTACAACTGGTAGCAAACTTGGTAGCAATGATTTCGTGACATGTGACACACTTTTTGCACGAGAAACTGACTGGACTAAGTTCGCTACTAGGGGTAGCGAACTTGGTGTGTTATGTGGCACAATCTCATTAATGTACCAATCACAATTAATATATCAATCATCAATCACAATTTAGTGTACCAATGGGATTAACTTTTGATTGTATCAATCACAATTAATGTACCAATCACCAATTACTTCGGAAGGTCACGAGATTGTGCCACATAACATAACGAGATTGTGTCACATATCACACCAAGTTCCCTACCCTTAGTAGAGAACTTCATTCAGTTAGCTTTTTTTGCGAAGTGTGTCACGTGTCAAAAAATCATTGACTATCAAGTTTGCTACCAATTGTAGCGAACTTCAACACATGGCAATCCGGTAAATTTTATTATTCACATGACAGTTTGGTATATAAATGTAAAAAATGTGACATATTGATCGCTCTTTCGAGTTCTTGTGATGGGAAAAGAACTAATGAGAACAGGTTTCAAAGAAACTCAACAAAAAAAGTTACTGCAACTGCTTAAGATTATTTGGTGAACTTCTTTATACTATTTTGAGTCATTATTAAATTCATTAAGTTTCTCATCTTTTTTATTTCTTCAATAATAAATTTCAATTTCCTTTATTAAAAAAATGTTCAAATTTTAATGTCCTTCGCTCTATTTTAATAAATTGTACTTTTGTCTCTTGATAGATTAAGATGTGCTACACTTGATATAAATGAGTTTCTTAAGAGTAATTTTTAGCTATTTATTATTCTAAATATCATTGAGGCGTTCAAAAAATCATTTTAGTTCCTTAAAAAGTCTGTTTATATTAGTATGAACTAAAGTGTAATACATTTTCTTCTCTTAAAAAGCATAGTATAATCTTTTAAAATTAAAGAGGAAGGAAATGTAATAAGTACACCTTAAAAAAATTTAATGCAATTGATTTTATTTTGATCCAAAGAAACAACAGGTTGACTGTTAAATTAAATTATCAAATAACTAAAGGAAGTTAACTATTATATATAAGTTAACAAAATAGAATTGGATTATGAAAAATTTTAAGTCTCTCTAAAAACCAACCTAACAAAGCACCTAATAAAGAAAGAAAACCCCACACCCCCAAAATGTAATGAAATTGTGCTCAAAGTCTAAGATGTACTTTGTCTTCTTTTTATCTCTTTGTCTCTCTCCTTTCTTATGGAAGCTCCCGTAAGCTTCTTACAATTCCTATTTTCTCTTAAAAAAAGAAAGAAAGAAAAGAAAAGAAAAGAAAAGAAAAAACTACTTTTTTAAAAAAAAAACCTTTTCTTTCCTCGTTGGAGGATTCGGTTAGATGATAACTAAACTATAACGTCAAAATCATCCAATTAATTTTTTTTATATAATAATAAGAAAATGACAAAGCCCAAAGGACATCATCCAAGAGTACTAAGCTCCCACCATCCTAGCAAGATAATAAAGTAGAATTTCGTACTACCAAACCAATAGCTTTCATAAGAACCCATTTGATAAATGAAATGAAAACCCAAGATTGTCAGGGTCAAGTAACAAGCAACTTGTGATCCCCAGAACTTGTTTAAATCTTGCTGGAACCATTATCTTGGGGAGGGTTATCTTCAAGCACATTCCTGCCTAACCTTTACCAAAACATCAAAAGCTTAGTCATTCCTAAAGTCTCATAATCAATACAAATAAATTAATCCATCAAGAATTAGCCCTTATTCTAAAGTTAATTACTATCATCAGAGCAGGGGGACGTAGACAAGAAACATACGATGCATTGCTGCCATTATGATTTTGATTTCCAAAGTCGTGACCCAAATTACTGACTCTTAAAATCTTTTTGGAACACCTGATAAAGAAGATAAGATAACTTATCATATCTTACTTTTATCTCTTGTTTGGTGGGACAATAGGATATGATTAGGTTATCCTATTGTCTCATTTTATCCTCTCCAATACATGATTTCTTATCCTATGGGGAGAGCTGGGTTACAATTCAACAGGATAGAATACTGATCCGGATAAAATATAGGCCCAACCAGGGCCCAAAAACACATAAGGAAGCCCAGACCCATTGAAGACCAGAGCAAAGCGCAAAGAACAAACACAGACGTGATGCCCTCATCGCGACACACAAGACGCGATGTCTTCATCACGTCACACAAGACGCGATACCCACATCACGTATGAAACCTTCTATAGGAAGTAAACTTAAGGCCAAAGGCAACTCCACCGCGCCTTAACTCCAGTAAACAACGGACAGCTCCAGCTTGCCACAACTCTACTACTAGACACTATGGAAGATAAGGCTACTCAGGTTCCCTGACTGATCTGCAGCCCAAGGCTGGCCACTCAGAAGCCAAGCCGCCTTAACTAAAGCGGCATCTTAACTACTATATAAGCAAACGATATACCACCAAGGTACGATCATCTTTACTCAATCAACACAAAAACACCTGCCTCTGATACTAACTTAAGCATTGGAGTGTCTTCGTAGGTACCCCCCATTTGGTGCAACACGCCAACGAGAAGGATAAAGCTCAAGCACTCTACAACAGCAATACCAGGCCCAGGCCACTAACAACGTAAGCTTATTCAACCGTGTGTGATTGGGCTCGATACATATAGGCCAGTCCATATTGTATTTGGTCTGATAAGATACCAATATTGGATACCTAATATATCCCAACGCTACCCAATATATTTGTATTTATTGCATTATATTTTATTTTTTCTTTCTCCTTTCTCCTTCTACATAATCTTATCAGATTGCTAATTAGGTGCTCATCAAACACAGGACATGATATAAACTTATCAACCCCATATCATATCCTACCCTTATCAGCCCCATATCATATCTTACCCTTTATCCTATCATCTCCACCAAACGAGCCCTTAACATGCAGTACACACAAGACAAACACACTCTCCTACAAAAGCAGGGAAACAAGATGCGTGCGAATGCTATTGAGAGCAATCATATTGCAAAATGGATTACATATCAAAATTTACAATGTCAACAAACAATTGGCATCTCAATTACCAACCCCTATGAACACATTGGGAGGATTGACCAAGAAATAGAAAGAATGGTTATTGCCTCAGAAAACTATTGTAACTGCTACCAAGGTTTAAGGTCACCCACAGGGCCAGCAGTCCAATTCAAGAACTTCTCCCCAGGTTTCAAGAATACGCTCCTGTCATGTGGCAACTTACGTGCAAGTCCATTTAGAACTTGATGGAAAGCGTCTCCAGATTGAGCAGGTTGTGGGAATAGCATTGCTTGCTTCATGGAAGGGTTAGCAAGCAATCTCTGTTTCCTTAATATAACTTCTGGTGGGATAGACGTGAGTATGGTATCCAACTTAGGAACATCCTCCTCATCAACAAACACCCCTATCTCTTCCCATGGGATTGCATCAGCAAATGGCAGAACAATATCATCAGCAATAATAACAGGGATGCAACCAAATACCACAGCTTCAACCAATCTTGGGCTCCAAGGGGCCCATCCAAGCGGGCATAGACAAAACACAGCTCGTTGCATGTCCTCGTAGTATGTGGCTGGATGCTCAGTGGAAATGTCAAATAGTGGATTGTCCTTAAAGTTCTCCCACACTGCTGCTCTTGCACCTCTGTAAGATTGCAAAACATGGTCAGTTTGACCAGTCAGGATTATTTGGTTGATCCGAATTTCTTTTCTTATGAAACCATCAATGTATGCACCAAACATCATGCATACTTGATTTTCAATCAGAGTTTTAGAAAGAACCAAGTTTAGGTTATTAATGCAGTTAATCTCAATATACTTACCAGTTTCAATTATTACAATATTAATAATTATTATATAAATTGAAGTCATTCTTCATGGCATTTTCAGTAAAAGGATTCAAGTCAGCTTTCTTATGCGAATATAATATGAAAATAATGAAAAGGCCACATACTCAAACAGCCCCCTTTGAACTTGTTATAAGACCTACCTTGCATAGTAACCACCTTCAGGGTCATTTCCAACGTCATAAAACAGTCCTCGAAAGTAAACAAAAATGGACCTGGGAGTTTTATCAGGAATTAGGTGGGCATGCATTTTCTGTGGGGGGGCATATGGAGGAATGGTAATTGAGCCCTCTTTCAAGCACACATGATTCCTCTGTCCAAATGTTTGGACCAAGGTAGCACGCTGTAGCAGTGGAAGAATCCCTCTTTCAATTGCCTTCTCTTCCTGGAACAATATAATATAATAGAAGTGCGTGTTACATGATCCGCATGCGGTATTAATAATGGAATCGGAGGGACTTATCAAAACAGCACACAATTGGTTCAAACACATAAGTAGCATTAACAGTGATATAAATAAATAAAAAAATTGAATTATACACTAAATCTCGTACTTGGTAATGAAAACATGCCCCAAAGTCATGAGGAACCACAAAGAAATGATCTGCCCCTTCTGTTCGGTTCCAATAGGGCCAGTTTGAAGAAATAAGCTGAATGGCACTCCTCATCATTCGTGGTGACTTGAAGGGTAAAGGAAGGCCATTTGGTGTCAAATCACAGGTGGTGTATACAGGGGTATAAAACCAGTCAGCTTCTTCAGGATTAAGGGTTCGGACAGGGCTAGATAAGAGAAACCGATGCATAAAAATCTCGGCAGCAAACATATGGGTGAGGCATCTTGAGTCCTTTTGCAGAATTTTCTTATTATATTTGCTTGGAAGTTCATAGACAAAAACCTTCAACCTTCCCACTGGATCATCTTCCAATACATCACCAGCGCTACCTACAATTGGTTCAACCACAACAAGCTTAGCAGTCCCATCTTCAATAAAATGAAATATATACTGATTTTAAAATAATAAATTCACGCTGAGAATTTAAAAAAGCATATTTGACTCCAGTGTAGAATTGCTTCATGCAAGTCATGGAGAAATAGTACACAAGACTGCTTATAACACCTTTAAATTCCAAGCGACTAAGCATGTGCATTTGTTTGTGTGTATCAAATTATCAATTATCTGCAAGTTACATAAGTTCTCCTCTTTTACCCAACTCCCACTCCAGCTACTTCCCCACTGAATTGAAACCCAAACTGATTCTACATTCTTAAACATACATACTGTTAGGGACAGCTTTTATATTTTGGCCATAACTTACCCTTTCTGGCTTTATAAGGTTCAAAAGGCATAAAAAGGACCAAAGTATTATGAGAGAAAGGGAAAGGGATTCAGATTTGATATTGCATGCTTTGTTATCAAAGGTTTAGTACCTACACAGTTTTATATGCTTTGTCAGGGAGCAGCTTTGATGTTTGTTGCTCTTGGATTGTCATCTCAATGCTCATCTTTGTTGTTGTCATATTCTTTGTCTCATTATTGCTTGTCATTTGTTATCTCATTGCTCTTGGTTTTTAGGAATTATGTTAAAGAAGCAATCAACTATAAACAAAAAAGCCCAATCAAATTTATGGATTATCCTCTTCCTCCTCCTTTTACTATATGTACCAAACTATTTCATTTCTATCAAGACTAATAAAGGAGAGAGTCTGGCTAAGGCATGAAAACCATTCATAAAGGTTATCAAGATCTCCTGTCACCCCACATAACATGATCAAAGTGAGAATTGACTATAATATGACCCTATGTTGATATATAGCCGTTTCCAATGAATTTCGTCAAATACTTGAGCTGATTCCAAATACATAACTTATCATTGCTAGCCACTGACCCATATACAGCAAAAAAGTAAAAGTCAGTAAAATGACTCTGCCAAATTCGAAATTATTCCATTGGGCGGATTAATAATTCTTCTAATATTATTACACATCATAACCGAAACAGCTACACAACACCAGTTCCTAAAATGGATTATGCTAAGAAGCATTGAACTCGTGCCCACCCTCAAACATTGAAACAGAAATTTTTTAGCATTAAGCAAGCTCGGCACTTGAGATTGGATCTTAAGAATAACTACCTGCGTTAAATGCTGAAGAACCAATGCTTTGCGATTGAAAATTGAAATTATAACATCACAAGCAAAAACAATTCAACACCTCGATACAAAGCTGATCTTAATCAAACTCACACTGTATAATAATAATCATAAAGACACAACACTCAAAAACTGTAACGTGAAACCGTCAAACCAAAATGACACCTAACCGGAAAGAAATTGATCACAATCAAAAGACTCAAAACCCCAAATCAACAGAATTAGAACATGGCAAGCAAAGAAAGAAGCTGAAAAACTAAAATCAGAAGAAAATCCACCTGAAATTCTTTCAGTGGGCTGATTCCTACCCAGCTCCACAGCACCAACTGTAAATTGAAAAGCAGCACAAAGAAGCCCAAGAAAACCCCATTTCCAAATACCCATTTTTTGTTTCCCCCAGAACAGATTGGAAGAATCTCAGTGATGGGATGGGAAGAGGAAGGTGCTGATGATGGGTGCAACTGCAAAACAAGGAAACTAAGTATTATAAGGAAGTCAATTGTAGTCAGCGGAAGAAGGTGACGAGTGGAATGATGAAGGTTAAGATGTCAGAGGGGAAAGTAGTTGTGAAAGGTTTCTTAGGAATAGGGCTTCACATGATCGATCAGCTTGAAGGAAAGGGATATATGGGTTCTTGTCAGCAGCAACAGAGAGAGACACATTTGAACATTGAGGGACCAACAAACAAAAGAGTGGATTTGCTTTGAAGAAACAATTTTTAAAATTGAAGATTGAAGATTGACGAAGAAGATGAAGATGGATTTGCATAATTTTTCTGGTTTAGTGAGGTTTTCTAAGTGTGAGGTTTGATGACATGTCCATCTCAGACAACCATTTAGGCACCAAAATTCAACTATGTCACGTTCTTTAGCTCAATTTCAACCTTTAATCTTCTCTCTCTCTCCCTCTCTCTTATATATGAAAATCACTATGATTTTATCTTCTTATTAACACGATGATTTTAGTCACTAAGATTAAAAAAAGACTGTTTCGTTGTAAGTGTTTATTTGTTTATTTTGCTAACATTGCACGTTTTCTATTTCGAATGTCCGTAATTAGGCATTGCTCAAAGAGTCGAATCCGTGGAGATACCAGCGGTTTTGATTCGCCTCAAAAAGATAATTAGGATCAGTTTCCGAAAAAAAAAAAATAGTTAATTAATGATTCACAGATTCAGCGTTAATACAGAAAAACGAAGAAGAAAATACTCCCTTAATAAAACAGAGTATTAATAATAAAAAATAATAATTATATCGATAAATAAATTAGTGCCTATTGTAAAGAATCTTGGATACACTACCCAAAAAGCAAGTTCAAAGATCTTATAAACTCCACATTAGTTGCTCATACAAATAATGTGAGACTATATATCTCAACACTCCTCCTCACATGAGAGCACATTGGATTTGAAGGGTGGATAACGTACAAGCCCACCTATATATATGAAGAAAGAACAAAAAAAGTGGGGGCAGTGAGATTTGAACCCGGGACATGAGGCTCTGATAGTATGTAAAGAACCTTGGGAAACACCACCCCAAAAGCTAGCTCAAAGGGTGAGAGTGCTCAAGGCCTTATAAACTCCACATTAATTGTTCATACAACCAATGTGAAACTATATATCTCAACACCTATAATTTTATTTTATTTTATTTTATTTTTCAGAAAGCCTGCAAAGAAGATATGGATAGGATTTTATATGACACATTTTAATGATCATCACATAATTTAAGAAAATCTCGGTCATCAATTTCTTTTAATGACCAATAAACAGTAAGCAATTAAAATAGGTGACACAAGTTGTTGTTTTTTTTAAAAAAGTTATTTTTAAGTTAAAATTTAAAAAAAAAAACTAAAAATTGTTTGGTTATTACATAAAAAAATTATTTTAAAAGCACATATTTCAAGAAAAATCTCTTTTTCTTTCTATATCTTTATTTTTATTTCTATGGCTCTTTATTTAAAACAAATACACAATTCAAGAAAAGTTGATAAAAATTTTAAAAAAAATTAAGGAACTTTTGGTTTTTTCTTAGAGCTTAGTGTTTGTCATTTTAAATGATATAAGTTATGTCATTTCATGAGAGAAATAAACACAGAAAATGAAAATCATGGGAGAGAGAAAATGAGTGCTTTTTTAATTTAAAATTTAAATAAAAAATTTGTTCTGTGTCTATCTCTCTCTTAAAATGACATAACTTTATGTCATTTAAAATGATAAACACTTTTTCCATTTGTGAAAAAGATGATAGATTTTTTTTATCAAAAAATATTTCTACAGTTACTGTAGATAAGTTATATGCATTTACTTTCAAAATAACGTCGTTTTGAGATTGAAATATTAAAAACTTATAATTATAAAAACTATAATAACCCTGAAATAAATTAAAATTATAAAAACGTCATGATTTTTACTCCAAAATGACGTCGTATTGGACTTACTGCAGATAACCTATCTGCAGTAACTGCAGAAAAAGCGAACCCTTTTTTTATATGTCAAACCTATAAACTTACATGTTGGTCAATATCATATTATTTATTTTATTTAAAATAAATTATTATTTTAATGATTTTAAATAATAAAATAATATTATTTTAATTATTAAATGGGAAATGATCCGTTTACAAATTGTTTTTACAAATTATACTATGTACTCCTCAAAGTACATAGTGTAACCTAGTGTACTTCCGAGAATACATAGTATAGTTTATAAGAGTTTGTAAACAAAAAATTTGTAAATATAACACTCTCCTTATTAAATACCTAATAGACTTCAAGAAGCTAACTGGCCTAGGTCAAAACTTTTATTTTTTAAATATAGGTTAGATGAGACTTGACTTTTAATTCAGGCCTACACAATGCTAACAGACCAGGGCATACCCAAATTATTTTACAAAAACATGATTTATTTAAACCAAAACCTAACCTAGCCCAACATATTTACACCTTTATTTGTGATATATTTTTTTAAAATAATTATTAAAAGGTGTCGTTCCGCCTGAACTCAAAGCAATAGCGTCGTGTTGTGGTGGAAGCAAATGAGAAAGAGATTCTTATATAGAATACTAAGAATATTGTAGAGTATCTCTAAAATATTGAACTACCCGTATACCTAATAATAATCATAGTTACATCTGGTAGCATTTTATGTCTCACACATAATTTTACATTGGTAAACAAAATTGCAAAAGCTTTTGATATACATCTACATCAAAGGGATACTTAAATTATATTTTTGAAGATCTCTAGTAAAACGTTCTACACTAATCCAACAAGGGAGTTCGTTTTTTGTGCTAGAGGAGCATATGCTCCCTTTCTAAAAATTGGAGGGAAAAAGAATTGAGAGAGAATTTAAAAGTAAGAAGGCGATATAAATAGATGCAAATATTTATTTTTTTGGTAAAGAACCACCAAATAGTACTGTGCTCCTCAAACACATTAAAAAAATCCCCAACAAGGGACGTAAGTAATTTTTAGAATTTATAATTTACAATATAAAAATCATTCAATCTTGTAAGCAGTGGCGGACCTAGAAAAAATTCTTTATGTCCGCACATTTTAGTGGTGGGGGTTCGGGGGCAGCGCCCCTGAATTTTTTTTTTTGTAAAACCAATTTAGATTAACGTTTTATGTACAAGGTTATGACCTCGTCTCTAGAGATTAACTTATTTGAAAATTTCAGATCTGCAATCAATCCTCTCTTTTTAGAAAAATAAAAAAGGAAACAAAGGATGAAGAGAGCATGAGAATGAGTACGTGACAGGGGAGGAAGAATAAGTTTTCTCTCTAATCAATTTGAGTTGCTACGTTGTTTGAATCATCTACATAGGTTGCTACGTTGCTAGCTAATATAAGAGTAAATACTCTTTTTGGTCCCTAACAAAAAATTCGGTCCCCACTTTAGTCCTTTACAAAAAAATTTAGTGGCCTGGTCCCTATAAAATTCAAAGTGAACATATTTTAGTCCTTTTGAGCGACTAATGTGGGTCTTTTTTGAATTTGTGAGGGATCACAATTTTAACTAAATTGATCCACTTTGAATTTCTTAAGAACTTCAAGACTACTTTTTTTTATAAAGACTAAAGTGGGGACCGTATTTTGTATTAAGTACTTTAAATAGTATCTACTTCTAATATGAATATTGAACAAAGCGATAATTAAGAACCTGCAACACAAAAAAAATTAAAATTAAAATCCCAATTTAGTGCGGACATGTGCGTCAACGTCGGTTCGCCAGTGCTTGTAAGCAGCCATCTCTTTGATTTTTTATTTTTATTTTTTCTTGAGGAAATTGTCACAACAAACTTTCAGTTTGGTGAAATTTCCAATTCATGTGCATATTTTGCATAACTCCTGCAAAAACTCCACGAACAACAACTGCAACATGGTTCTTATTCTTAAGTCCAGTTTTTTTATATGCCTGAAATTGTTTGGGTGTTAAGAGCTTCCATTGTTGTTTTTCATTAGCCCGGAAGAGAATGACAAAAATTCAATACTACGTTTTGGAAGGAAAATACAACATTCAACAGAAAATAGGCTACACTAAATTACCCTTCACTTCATTGGATTCTGCTGAAAAAGAAAACTGTCAAACGATTGCATGGTCTGAAAAGTTGATCCTCTTGTCTTTCCACAAAAATTTGATCAAACCAAAAATATAAGGCCAAATCAAATGATGGTTAAAAATTATTGGCAATATTCCTTATAATCTAATTGTTTTTTGTTCTGAACTAGTATATTGAGCTTTATATTCGGCCTAATTTCCTAGGTCTCCCGTCTCCCCTCGATTCGTTTATATATAGTTGTTTACATTTATTCCACCAAATAATTGGATTCTGCTATCTCAAGATTCCAGCGTTACAGATGATTTCCCATGGATTCTGCTATAATTATTGGATTTTCAGCTTATAATGTCTATGTAGCCTGATTGCATTCTCAATCCTATTCTCATTGATTTGAGTATCAAAGTCGTTAGGGTGTGTTCTTCCATTAATATTTGATAGCTAAGCATACACCATATTTATTTATGCATGGCTTTATATCTGAACAATCATCTCAATAAATGCTACCTAATCTATTATTATGAAGAAGATTCTAGATGTTTACAAAAATAAAAATTGAAAAAGATTCTAGAAAAATGTAAAGGTTTCACCTCTACTATATAAAGGAATGTAAAGCGTTTTCAAGCCAAGCTTGTTAAAAAAACCTCAGAAAAGAAATTTAAGTCTGAGAACTTTTTAGAGAAAAATCTTGTAACCACAATTGTTGGTGAAATTGTGGTTCTACTATTTACAGATTTTCTGAATTTGATATCCTGTGATTCTTACTCTTTTGCATTAGAGAAGATTTTTCCCTTTAAAATTTAGGCAAAAAAAATTTATTTATTGTAATTTAATTAAATAATTACGCAAATATCACAGTTTGAGAAATATTTACGCATCTATTGCATACTGTGACACCCCACTGGGGCGTCTCTCGTGAAGAGGAAGACACCCAAATGGGGCGTCTCTCATGAGGTGGTGACATGTGTCATTTGTTTTTTCAAAAAAAAATTTAAATTAAAGTCCATAACTTTTGACTCGAGTATCCAAATCAGGTAATTCTTTTTTTTATTCCACATAACTTTTCGAGATCCACGCAATGACATCTCATTTGACATATTTTATTTCTCACAAACACAATTTTAATTTGCAAGAATGGTATTATAAAAGCGATTAAACTTAGAAGTCTCTGAGTTCTGGATTTGTGATTTAATATAAAAAAATAAATAAAATTTTTGATTTGTGATTTAAATTTTTTTATAATAATTTTCTTTATTATAACAAAATTTTGGTTTGTGATTTAAATTCAAAATAAAAAAAATTATTATTAATAAGGAAAACAAAATAAAGATTTGATTTATGATTTAAACTAAAAAATCAATTTGAAAAATATGTAGAAATAAAGAAAATAATTAAATAAATATTTTAAATTTCTAAGGAAGAAGGATATTATTTTTAAAATTAATGATTAATGCTATAAGCTTCTGGGTTATTATTCGTGGTCTGAAATTAATGATGGCTTATGAATGTTTTTCAAAAATAAAATTACCTAAATTAGGCGTGATTTCCTCTTGATTGAAACTCAATTTAGACGTGATTGGTGATGTGTTAGGTTTTGACAAGTGTGGACACGTGTCACATTTTTAAACTCAGAAGCCTCTAAGGAAGAATGATTACCTGATTTAAATTTAAATTATGTTGGTGAGAAATAAAATATATCAAATGAGATGTCATTGCGTAGATCTCGAAAAGTTATGTGGAATCAAAAAAAGAATTACCTGGTTTGGATACTCGAGTCAAAAGTTATGGCCTTTAGAAGTTTTATGATTAAATTACATTTTTTTTTTGAAAAACAAGTGACACGTGTCACCACCTCATGAGAGACGTCCCATTTGGGCGTCTTCCCCTTCATGAGAGAAGTCCCAGTGGGTCGTCACTGGGTCGTCACAGTATGCAATAGATGCGTAAATATTCCCCTAGCTGTCATATTTACGTAATTATTTAATGGGAAAAGAGTTACTGATATTACTTAAGATAACTTTATCTAATGTTCATCGAAACGACGTCGTTTTGGGATTGAAAAATTAAAAAATTAGAGTGATAAAGACTATTATAACACTGAAATAAATTAAAATTACAAAAATACCATTATTTCCGTTCCAAAACGACGTCGTTTTGATGAACATTAGATAAAGTTATCTAAAGTAACATCAGAAAAAATAAACCTTTATTTAATTAAATTACAATAAATAAATTTTTTTGCCTTAAAATTTATTATTGTTTTTTTCTCCATCTCTCATTTGTGCATATTTCTTGTTTATGCAATTTGCCCTACCTGATAATTATAGGTTGATCCCTAGATGCCTAGCTGATACTCGATTTACCGACCTGCGAACCGCTTCCGCATAGAAATTTCTACAATTTGAATCTCTTCGAATAACCTGGTTGCATTCTCAATCCATCTCATATTGACTTGAGTATAGAAGCTTCTACGGTTGGAATATCTTCAAGTACATCCCCATTGTATTAAAGAAACACCACCATCAACAAGTCCACGAAGATTGGAAAAGCATATTCGTATCATACTGAACACTTCTTATTTCATAAAAATAAAAGTATGCTTATTGAATGTATAGAGAATTACAGGTTCTGACAGTTTAGATTCCATACCCATTTCCATGTATTTTTATGCAAATCCGTGATTATTTGCTCTTCCTTTATTCGTTTCTTATCAAAATAAAGAGCTCTCATCATGTTGTAGGGTTTTTTTTTTTTTTTTTTTCAAACCAAAGTTAACTAGACAAAAGTGCTCAAAGCAAGAAAGATAGAATTCCTTATACAATAGCGTGATGGGTTGGGATTTGAAAAGCGTATTATTTGGGATGACATTTCTAATTAGGTTCCTCAACTTCTAACTTCTTATGTTGTTGCAAAAATTTTCTTCTTATAACATCAATTATAATTATATTTTATCAGTAAGACATAATTATAATATTAAAATTATTTTTTTTTCTCTTGACCATATCAGCTGATAGTCTTTTGAGAAAAGAAAGAGAAAATAATTTTTAAAATTATAAATATATCTTACCAGTAAGATATTGTTGTAATTGATTGCCACTAAATTCCCTCACATCAACATGAGGAGTGATGATTTTGCCTTCTAATTATAACTCAAAATTATATTATAAAAAGATCAACCCACTAATATTTAATAGGAGTTCTCGTACATCCACTCCAAATTTGGAGTAATTTACATTTAAAATTACAATGTAAAATTTTTAGTATATTTACAAATTAAATATAACTAAAAGTATATTTTATTTATTTTTAATGACTTATTTATTGATTTTCTTATGAATATGTGTTATTAAATATATTTTAACATTTTTCTTATGAATATGTGGTTATTAAACATGCCAGACTGCCAGTGCCCAACTTCCGAAGCAAATTTGTGCACAAAAAGTCCAGTTTTTAGTGTAAATTTGTTGCAGATCCGGGGCATGAATTATGCTTGAAGTTAATGGACACCTGTCCATGGATGACGACAGTGACCATATTATCCGGTTTTCTGGCACGAACGATACAGTTAGTTTTATACACCGAACCCATTTAGCAATGAAGACTAGTAGCGAACGATTGATGATTGATTATCCAACGAAGGACACAAAATTTATGATCTACAGAAGGGTTACTCTAGTTAGCATTCATTTCCCTCAACTAATTTTTGGCTGTGACAATTCTCAATTATGATGGACCATGCATAATGACCCAAAACCCCTTATTCATGATTGATATCCCAAAACACAGCGTTCCCATCATTATTGAGATCATTGTTCATTTGTGGTTAACTCCAGAATTCGTACTGAAAAGTAAGACAAATACCAAATTAAGAAGTTAAACATCTTCCGTTACGAGGGTGGCCCACAAAAAGTGACAAAGCATTTAATATGTATTGAAATTCCACTTACTTAATGTTGCGTCACAAGCTGGAACTAACAAACGAGAGAGAACTCACAGGAGGCAGAGCTTCTTTTGATTCTGAAACTGAGTCTTCGTTAGAGAACAAAGAGTCAAAGAGAAAGAGAAAGAGACAAGAAGCAGAAGGAATGGAGGCAGTGACCGTGACAGTGATGGGTTGCCATGGGAGATCAACATCAAATTCAAACCAAGAATTGGCTAATGGAAGAAGAGAAGGAGCAACAGCGCAAGTGATTGTCGTAGATGATGATGATGGCATAGAGAAAGACAGCACTGAGACTGAACTCACCAAAATCAGTCTTATGAGAGCCCTTGTTGAAACACGTGATCCCTCTTCTAAGGTAACCTATTCCTGCCTCACCCTCACTTTTCAGAACTACAGATATTTTTTTGGTCGAAGGAGGTTGCAGGAGAAAAAAGAAGTAAAAAAAAAAATTTGCAAAAATTTCGTTAATATCATTATGGGAAATCATATTCTATGTTTGCCCGAAATGGATTCTCTAATGTGTGAATAAATTTGATATGGTCACGTGGGAAGATCATAACCATATAAAGATAAATCAACGATTATGATTTCGTAACTACCTATTTTATCATTTTTTTTCTCTCTTCTTTTTTTATCATTGATCTACCTTTGTATGGTTATGATTCTCCACGTGACATAGTCATGTGAATTTTCACATTAGAAGATCCAGATCTTGCTGTAGGAGATAGGGTATCTTATCTGATAGACTCAACATATGTGGACTCTATTGATTTTTTTTCTTAAAAAAAGAAAAGAAAAAAGGCAAGCTCGGATATCTAATGGTGAGTAGGAAAAATTTTCTGTCTTATGCTGCATGAGACTAACTTAACCCAAATTTTTTTTATCTTATATTATTTATTATGATTATGTATTTCGAAAAATATATAATTATAATATTAAAATTATTTTTTTTTTCAAAAATTATTGCCTGACAGGAGAAGTACATAGTTATAATAAATTACATAAGATAACTTCTTTTTCCAAAAAAAAAAAAAAAATGAAGTTTTACTATATTTATTTTTCAAAAACTTGAGTAGTGTTACGTGTTATATACTTTTATTCTTTGAGTTATCCAATCTTAATTATTTTTTTAAGATGAATTGGCTTCTATTAGTATTCTCACAAATTTCGACTTTTCGAGTTAACTATGGGATACGGGCCGAGTCAAGGATAAATATATTTATATTTCTCCCTAGATATGACATGTGGATATGGAACTGAAACTCAATTTTTTACACTAGTTATCTCTCTTACAACCAACCAGGTCACGTGTTATATACATAAATCTCGCAAGTGTAACTTTTTGAAATTTTTTTCATCATGTCTCCTTTTCTCTGTTTATCTTGGCTGAAATAAAATAAATATCTGTAAAAAATGTGTTGTTGCTTTCTTTATGCAATCAGCTTCTTTTCATTTAATTAATATTTACATGCATATTTTATATATTAATATAATTTTTGTTATTCAATTATAACTAATTTAATTTGTTTTGTATATACTTTTGCTCTAAATCTGACAATCTGTCACATGATAATTTTATATTGTTTAAATATTATTCTTTTCATTTACTTTGCCAACCTGTAGTAAGCCTAGTTATGTCAACTACCACCAAATTGTGGTACTTTAATAAGTGTACGGAAATTAAGCAGCTGATAACATATATTCGATTATCTTGAGTATCACATTTTAAAAAAAAATTAAAATCTTAATTCTAAATTCATTTTGAACCAAACTAATTGCAAAACAGTGAACATTGCAATATTTTCAAAAATAAAAATAAAATGTCAAGTACCCTGTTGACTGTTGCGCTTGCGCAGGTGAACGAATGGTCGGGTAATCCGCCTATTCACTCACCTGTGATGTAATATAATACGGGCATAAAACTAAGTCTACGTGGAATTTATTATAATATAAAAGCTTTTTTACTATTATTTTTACATGAAATTTATAAAAAAAAATTATTTATAATTATATAATATTTTAGTCATTTTAAATAAAAAATCATTTACATAATTTTAAAAAATTTAATTAATTTAAATGTGCACCAAACATTTAATTATTAAAAAAATGGTTATCATTGATATTTGTTTTAAACTAGTATGATAACTAGTTAATATTCATAGCCTAAAGCGTCCAGGCCAAAATTCAAAGCTTAAAATAATTAGTATCGTATTTCTTTTATTATTATATTATTTTCATGTAGTTTACCAAAAAAAGTATTATTTTCATGTAAATATGATATAAGGACAAACTTCGTCACACAAAATTTATGCACTTGCAAAGATAAGAGGGATAGTTCATGACATTCCGAACATATGGAGCAACCTTCCTTCAATATAAATATACATTTAAAAAACTATTTATTAAGTGTTTATTTTATTTCTACAATATGAGCCTCTCTATAATGTGCATAACAAATTTAATTATGACATATATATTTAGTTATTTACTGAGGCAGAGTAGAACTTCTTTTATGATTTAACCCGTTGGCATTGGTAAATAGTATACTGTTACAAAGAAATTCGTTTGACTCTTTGGCTGCAGGAAGAGGATGACTTCATGATTAGAAGATTCCTGCGTGCTCGTGATTTAGATGTGGATAAGGCTTCAACAATGTTCCTCAAGTACTTGAAATGGAGACGTTCATTTGTTCCAAATGGCTATATATCGCTGCCAGAGATTCCTAATGAACTTGCACACAACAAGATGTTTGCGCAAGGACGCGATAAGAGAGGTCGACCTATAGCTATTGTCTTCGGTGCAAAACATTTTCAAAACAAAGATGGTTTAGATGAATTCAAACGTATGTTTTCAGTGCCTTTCAACTCCTAGTATGTTTAGTGGTCATTTATATATGATAGTTTGTTTCAAATCCTAAACAATTTTCTCAATGACAAACAACTTCTTTGTAATACAGGGTTTGTAGTCTATGCTCTTGATAAACTATGTGCAAGGTAATGATCCTTTTGCAATATTATTTCCTACACATATATCCGTGGCACCCACAAAATGAAATAAATGTAGACCCTGCTTTTAGAATTTTAGAACTGTGAATTCAGTTTGTGAAAAGAACCCATTTAACCTAAAAATTTAAACTATTGGATGAAGTTACATTAATTGATTGTACCATTTAAAACATCAATTCTTAAGTTATCAGGTGAAATCACATTAATAATTTTATATTATATTTCTCTACCCTCTCACGATGGATTGTGACATATCATTTGATGTATCAGGATGCCACATGGGCAAGAAAAGTTTGTTGGTATAGGAGAACTTAAGGGATGGGGATACTCAAATAGTGACATGCGTGGATACATCAGTGCTCTAACCATTTTGCAGGTATTACTTCTCTATTCTTCACCATTTCTTGACTCTGTCAGTGTTTTAGGACCAAATAGGAATAGTCTTTAATTAGTCAACTGTGAAGTTGAAAACTTTCAAACATTTAGAACTTGTGATTGCGTTTTGGATGCAGGATTACTACCCTGAAAGATTGGGGAAGTTGTTTATTCTCCACGCACCATACATCTTTATGAAAGTGTGGAAAATGATTTACCCGTTCATTGACAACAAAACCAAGAAGAAGGTGACGTTTCAAATTTGTAGCTCAATGCATGCCTATGAGTATATATGTTTCGAGATGTTCAGGGAATTAAAATATTTAGAAAGTTGAATTTGGTTGCAGATAGTATTCGTGGAGAACAATAAGCTGAAATCAACACTACTAGAAGATATAGACGAAAGTCAGCTCCCAGAGATATACGGTGGCCTACTGCCATTAGTCCCTATCCAACATTGCTAATTATAAAACCACCACAAGTAATTCCCAATATGTTATAATAGTTTATTGGCGAAAATCAATGTTTAAAAGTTTGACACCGATGTGGAAGGATACTATTTCTTATATATGTATGCGTTAGTTTGCCAATTTCATTTTACTCGAATAATTTATACCGTTGTATCAAGTATCGTAAAGAAAAGATTGGAATTTTATAAGATAGTGAAGTTAATTATCTCAGCAGACTCAATTTACTGCTGCTTGTCATCGTTCACATTCAACGAAAAACAATGTAGGTTATAGCAACAAACAGTGAATCTTGATGTAGGCTACGCATACAAAAATGCTATTTCTCTTGATAAATTGCAACATCTAATGATTCAAATTATCCATACATCTCAGAATAAAATAGTCAAATCCCATTACAAGTTGTTATTATGTTTTGCACTACTTATTAATTCAATTATCTGTGTATCACCTATAATGCCATGGCGGCAATTCAAATATTAGTGAAGTCTCACATTATTTAATAATGAATTAAGTGATGATAGTGAAAAGATCTATAGACTTAGGCTTAAGGTTTTGAATTGAAATGAAGTGTTGAGTTTATTGATCCTGATGGATTGTGACTTAACCCATTAAGGACTTCTTCTTGGGGTTTGTATAAGTGATATTGGATGTCATATTAAACGTGAAGATGATTGAGAATTCAAGATTGAGTGAAGTGGAGTATTGATCATGCCTCTCTCCCCATTGACTCCGCAATATAATAACATTTAGATTTTATATCAAACTCAAGAACCCTTTATTCACTCTTTCACTATTTCGTTCTACATATTCTCTCAAACAGCTCACACAGATTATTAATTTTCACGTCCTTCATTTTGTACATAAAAGTAACTCTCACTGTCTACAAAAAAAAAAAAAAAAATCACTGTTTCTCACGTTTTTTTTCATACTCTCTCAAATAGTTCATTCACCATTTTTAAATTTCACCACCCTTGCATGTGTACACAAACAGAAAATAAGGGAAATAATCTTTCCAGCATTAATTCAACAATTATATCATATCAATTCTAGTAAAGAATTATGTTACATCAATCTCAAACATGAAAAATGATCTCAAATAATTACGAAAGATACTTATCATTGATATCAAATACTTTATCAATAATAATCTCCTTAATTTTACGAAAGATACTTACCTGGATTGTTTAACTTATAAAAAGAGTCCTAAATCAGAAAGCCACTCATTTATACGAGCACACGAAAACAAAATTAACGGTCAAATCACAATAAATTCTTAAGCATATTAAATTTAAGATAATTCTATTGCATAATGTTGTTAAATACGTACCATATCCATAATACATAAAGGGATTGCTACATTCTTTTGACAAATTATCCTAATATGATCAATGTATAAATAATTATAAACAAGAGAGTATTAATCATGAAGATGAAGTACAAGCATATGTTTAATATTTAAAATGTAAAGAAATTATTTGACACCCATATCTTTTAAATCATTCAATGGGAAATAAAATTTGTTACTTCAAAGAACAAAAATTTATATAATTTTAAATAAAATAATTGTATTTTGATGTATATTTAATAATTTTTTATATTTTTCATTCACAAAATTAGAAGGAAAGATAAAATAAAAATATGAAAGATAAGGTAAAAAACCATTAAAATAATAATTTCATTTAAAATGACACTAATTTATATATTTTAAAATAATATATATTTTTCACATATATATATATATATATATATATGTATGCTTATCATAAATTATAACCGTACAAAGATTAATTAATGGTGATAAAGAAAAAATAGAAAAAGAAAATCGTAATCATTCAAACGTGACATATTAAGTTTGTTTGGGACATATTATCAAAGTGATCACAAAAGGGAAATCAAATCTAGGGGACAATTATGGAGAGAGAAAAAATTATGATTCTAAGAAATATGCTGGGAAAGTTATTTTAATAGAAATGGGTAAGTTAAAATATTTTCAAGAATGGTGACTCAAATTTTTATTTATTGTACTTTTCATTAATTGGTAATGAATTTTGAAAATGTGAGTTGATTTTACAAAATTAATCTTTAATGATTTTTTGAGAAAAAATTCTGATATGTCACATAAAGGTCAAAATGCAATTTGGATATATATCAAACTCAAATTTTTCAAACAAATTTGATCGTTCTCAGACTAAATTCATTCTCAACCTCCAATTTAATCATAAAGATATTAAAGTAGGATTATTAATATCTAATAAATTATGTAAAAAAAATTCTTTAGGTAAAAATATAAAAGTACCACTCATTTAATGATATTATTTCATGCTTACAGATGATGATTAACCTAGTGGAAGAGCAAAGTTCCGGCGTATGAATGACAGATCTTTTCGTGTCAAGCATTAAAGCGTGTTGCGCAGGTGCATTTCATGCTTCAAGAAAGTTTTGGTGTGTAGTGGGTTTCAGCATTCCACGTTTCAATCTTTAAAAGGACTTAGTTCTTGGTGTGTTCGGTCTATTCATTTTATACTTCAATGTCTAAAAGGACCCTTATATGGCGGGCCTGTGCATTCCCTAAAAGGGCTGATCTTGTGTGATGGGCATGTGCATCTAACCCTAAATAGGCTCTTGATGCGGTGGATCTATATTGGAGTATAAAACTATAAATAAGTTAAGCTAAGTTAGATTTTGAGTTAAATAAATTAGGTTTGTGTAAAAAATATTGGATCTGATTTGGGCTTGTTAGTCTGTGTAGGTCTCAAATTAAAAATTTGACCTAAATATGTTAACCTTTTTAAGTCTATTAAACATTCAATAATTAAAAAAATAATTAAAATAATATCATTTTATTATTCAAAATTATTAAAATAATAATTTTATTTATTTTATTTAAAATAAATAATATAATATAGATCATCCTGTAGATTTATAGACTCGACATGTATAAAAAAAACTTACAACCTATTTTCTAAATAACGTATGGAGTAGTTTACATTCAAAATTACAATGTAAATTTTTTAATATACTTATAAGTTAAAAATAACTAAAAGTATATTATATTTATTTTTAATGTCTTATTTATTGATTTTTCTTATGAATGTGTTATTAAATATGCCAGACTGCCGGTGCCCATGTTCCGAAGCAAAATTTGTTCACCGGAAAACTTTGTTGCAGATCTGTGGCATGAATTATGCTTGAAGTTAATGGACACCTGTCTATGGATGACGACAGTGACCATAATATCCGGTTTTCTGGTAAGCACGATAGTTACAGTTAGTTTTATTCACCGAACCCATTTAGCTATGAAGGCTGGTACTGAAAATTAAGACAAATACCAAATTGAGAAGTTAAACATCAGTTACAAGGGTGGCCCACAAAAGTGACAAAGCATTTAATATGGATTGAAATTCCTCTTACTTAAGAATATTGCGTCACAAACATGAATTTACAAACGAGAACTCACAGGGCAGAGCTTCTTTTGATTCTGAAACTGAGCCTTTGTGAGAGAACAAAGGCAAAGAGAAAGAGAAAGAGAAAGAGACAAGAAGCAGAAGGAATGGAGGCAGTGACCGTGACAGTGATGGGTTGCCGTGGGAGATCAACATCAAATTCAAACCAAGAATTGGGTAATGGAAGAAGAGAAGGAGCAACAGCGCAAGTGATTGTCGTAGATGATGATGATGGCATAGAGAAAGACAGCACTGAGACTGAACTCACCAAAATCAGTCTCATGAGAGCCCTTGTTGAAACACGTGATCCTTCTTCTAAGGTAACCTATTCCTTCCTCCCCCTCACTTTTCAGAACTACAGGTTTTTGCAAAGATTTCGTTTGAGTTAATATTATCTTTATTTGAATATATTTTTCAAAATGAGAATAATAAAATTAAAGTTTATTATATGACTTTGAATATGTTTATTTTTCAAAAACTTGAGTAGTGGAATGTGTTGTCTACATAAATCTCGCAAGTGTAACTTCTTGAAAAAAAATTTATCATGTCTCACCTTTCTCTGTTTATCTTGCCTGAAATAAAACTAAAATAAATATCTGTAAAAAATGTGTTGTTGCTTTGTTTACGTAATAAGCTTCTTTTCATTTAATTAATATTTAGATGCATATTTTTTATATTTATATAATTTTTGTTATTCAATTATAACTAATTTAATTTATTTTGTATACAATTTTGCTCTGAATCTGTCACATGATAATTTTATATTGTTTAGATATTATTCTTTTCTTTTCTTTTTTTGCCAACCTGTAAAGTGGTGCTTCTAAGTTCTAATAAGCCTAATGATCAACTATGGAAATATTTAAAATACTCATTGTGTTACATACCCACTATTTCATCCATCCCTCCAATAAAAATTAAATATCAACATAAAAAAAATAGATCTTTCCGTATTAAAATTTCATATTATCAATTTTTTTCTTCATTAATGATAACTGAATATTATCTATTTAATGTATGTGAAAAAAAAGATAAATATAAAAAATTTATATGACTAAATTATATAAATTTTTAACATGAAAAAGTTTACTCCCCAACATTGATATGACAATATACCAGCGCGCAGAGAAGAGAAACAATAAGACAATTGCTAGCGACTGTTTTATTATATACAAATGTCTCGTTTTAAATAGCAATATTATCCACCACGTGGAGTCCCGTGATATTAAAAATGCACTCGTGAACCACCCGTTAACTGTGTTGTCCATGTGTACTAATAGTGATTACCCTATTCACTCATACATGGGGCATAAAATTAAGTCTACGCGGAATTTATTATAATATAAAAGTTTTTATACTATTATTTTTACATGAAATTCATATAATTTTGTAGATATTTTAAATATTTATTTTTTCATTTACATATTTTTAATAAAATTAATTAATTTGAATGTGCAATAAGGATTTATCTATTAAAAAAATCATTATCATTGCCATTTGTTTTGAACTAGTAGGATATTTTTATTAACAAAGATTCCTACAATTAATCCATTACCAATCTAATATAATTATGTATTTTCGGAAGTATATTAAAAACTGTTATTTTTTCTCTCTCTTTGAGAATTTTTCAAAAATTATTTGCTGAAAAGTGGAATCCAACAATAATAATAAATTGGTAATAGAAA